CAAAGCATCCTTAAGCATTGCTGAGTAATTTGGAGAAAATTCATTTTTTGGCCAAAATCGAAAAAAAAAGTAAGGCTAACCCCTTACATTTTTTTCAATTTTGGCCAAAAAATGAAATTTCTTGAAACTTGCTAGGAAGATACCTCAGGGTCCCTAGAACACGTTTCCACTCCTACATCGGACAGATAGGCCTTTAAAAAGGAAATATTACGTCCACAATTTGAGGTAAAATAGGTCAAATACATGTATATGACCTATTTTACCCAATAATGTCACAATTTTGGCCAAAATTTAGCGAATTTTGCCGGTCTGAATATTAAATCGTGCTCCCAAAGCATCCTTAAGCATTGCTGAGTAATTTGGAGAAAATTAATTTTTTGGCCAAAATCGAAAAAAAAGTAAGGCTAACCCCTTACATTTTTTTCAATTTTGGCCAAAAAATGAAATTTCTTGAAACTTGCTAGGAAGATACCTCAGGGTCCCTAGAACACGTTTCCACTCCTACATCGGACAGACAGGCCTTTAAAAAGGATATAGTACGTCCACAATTTGAGGTAAAATAGGTCAAATACATGTATATGAAATTTTACCAAATAATGTCACAATTTTGGCCAAAATTTAGCGAATTTTGCCGGTCTGAATATTAAATCATGCTCCCAAAGCATCCTTAAGCATTGCTGAGTAATTTGGAGAAAATTCATATTTTGGCCAAAATCGAAAAAAAAGTAAGGCTAACCCCTTACATTTTTTTCAATTTTGGCCAAAAAATGAAATTTCTTGAAACTTGCTAGGAAGATACCTCAGGGTCCCTAGAACACGTTTCCACTCCTACATCGGACAGATAGGCCTTTAAAAAGGAAATATTACGTCCACAATTTGAGGTAAAATAGGTCAAATACATGTATATGAAATTTTACCCAATAATGTCACAATTTTGGCCAAAATTTAGCGAATTTTGCCGGTTTGAATATTAAATCATGCTCCCAAAGCATCCTTAAGCATTGCTGAGTAATTTGGAGAAAATTCATTTTTTGGCCAAAATCGAAAAAAAAGTAAGGCTAACCCCTTACATTTTCTTCAATTTTGGCCAAAAAATGAAATTTCTTGAAACTTGCTAGGAAGATACCTCAGGGTCCCTAGAACACGTTTCCACTCCTACATCGGACAGATAGGCCTTTAAAAAGGAAATATTACGTCCACAATTTGAGGTAAAATAGGTCAAATACATGTATATGACCTATTTTACCCAATAATGTCACAATTTTGGCCAACATTTAGCGAATTTTGCCGGTCTAAATATCAAATCGTGCTCCCAAAGCATCCTTAAGCATTTCTGCGTAATTTGGAGAAAATTCATATTTTGGCCAAAATCGAAAAAAAAGTAAGGCTAACCCCTTACATTTTTTTCAATTTTGTCCAAAAAATGAAATTTCTTGAAACTTGCTAGGAAGATACCTCAGGGTCCCTAGAACACGTTTCCACTCCTACATCGGACAGATAGGCCTTTAAAAAGGAAATATTACGTCCACAATTTGAGGTAAAATAGGTCAAATACATGTATATGAAATTTTACCAAATAATGTCACAATTTTGGCCAAAATTTAGCGAATTTTGCCGGTTTGAATATTAAATCATGCTCCCAAAGCATCCTTAAGCATTGCTGAGTAATTTGGAGAAAATTCATATTTTGGCCAAAATCGAAAAAAAAGTAAGGCTAACCCCTTACATTTTTTTCAATTTTGGCCAAAAAATGAAATTTCTTGAAACTTGCTAGGAATATACCTCAGGGTCCCTAGAACACGTTTCCACTCCTACATCGGACAGATAGGCCTTTAAAAAGGAAATATTACGTCCACAATTTGAGGTAAAATAGGTCAAATACATGTATATGAAATTGTACCCAATAATGTCACAATTTTGGCCAAAATTTAGCGAATTTTGCCGGTTTGAATATTAAATCATACTCCCAAAGCATCCTTAAGCATTTCTGAGTAATTTGGAGAAAATTCATTTTTTTGCCAAAATCGAAAAAAAAGTAAGGCTAACCCCTTACATTTTTTTTCAATTTTGGCCAAAAAATGAAATTTCTTGAAACTTGCTAGGAAGATACCTCAGGGTCCCTAGAACACGTTTCCACTCCTACATCGGACAGATAGGCCTTTAAAAAGGAAATATTACGTCCACAATTTGAGGTAAAATAGGTCAAATATATGTATATGAAATTGTACCCAATAATGTCACAATTTTGGCCAAAATTTTGCGAATTTTGCCGGTCTGAATATTAAATCATGCTCCCAAAGCATCCTTAAGCATTTCTGAGTAATTTGGAGAAAATTCATTTTTTGGCAAAAAATCGAAAAAAAAGTAAGGCTAACCCCTTACATTTTTTTCAATTTTGGCCAAAAAATGAAATTTGTTGAAACTTGCTAGGAAGATACCTCAGGGTCCCTAGAACACGTTTCCATCCCTACATCGGACAGATAGGCCTTTAAAAAGGAAATATTACGTCCACAATTTGAGGTAAAATAGGTCAAATACATGTATATGAAATTGTACCCAATAATGTCACAATTTTGGCCAAAATTTAGCGAATTTTGCCGGTTTGAATATTAAATCATGCTCCCAAAGCATCCTTAAGCATTTCTGAGTAATTTGGAGAAAATTCATTTTTTTGCCAAAATCGAAAAAAAAGTAAGGCTAGGGCCTAACCCCTTACATTTTTTTCAATTTTGGCCAAAAAATGAAATTTCTTGAAACTTGCTAGGAAGATACCTCAGGGTCCCTAGAACACGTTTCCACTCCTACATCGGACAGATAGGCCTTTAAAAAGGATATAGTACGTCCACAATTTGAGGTAAAATAGGTCAAATACATGTATATGAAATTGTACCCAATAATGTCACAATTTTGGCCAAAAGTTAGCGAATTTTGCCGGTCTGAATATTAAATCATGCTCCCAAAGCATCCTTAAGCATTTCTGAGTAATTTGGGGAAAATTCATTTTTTGGCCAAAATCGAAAAAAAAAGTAAGGCTAACCCCTTGCATTTTTTTTCAATTTTGTCCAAAAAATGAAATTGCTTGAAACTTGCTAGGAAGATGCCCGAGGGTCCTTAGAACACGTTCCCAAAATTTCTCTCACCAAATGTGCCATTCAAAGGAAATATGGCGTGCAAAAAATGTAAATTGAAAACATTTTTTTCAAAAATATTTCTCCATTTATCCTTTATACTTGCCCAAATCTCTTCAATAAGCCCCTTTTGTGTAAGAAGGTATGTTCATTTTGCCTCCAAAAGTGTTTCCAAGTTGTTTCCTGAAAAGTCAATTTTTCACCCAAATTTTGCAATGTTTTCAATTTTGTTCAAAAAATGAAATTTCTTGAAACTTGCTAGGAAGATGCCCGAGGGCCCTTAGAACACGTTCCCAAAATTTCTCTAGCCAAATGTGCCTCTCAAAGGAAATATGGCGTGCAAATATTGTAAATTGAATACTCATGCCACCCATGCAATCTGGTCATATGATCGCTCTGTACATAAAGATAATGGTCGCCTGATTTGCCTGAAAATTGCACAGAAAATATTTCAGAGTTCTCCAATCTCTGCTTATCTTTTGCACTTGTACACACGTTACAAAAGGAAGAAAATACTAAAATAGGGATATCAATTTTCTCAGATGTTTCCAAATTTGGTTTTATTACAATAACTTTATACCAGTATACACGAATTCAGTAAATACTTTCGTACAAAAATTCAATTGAAATGCATTGAAAGACGAAACAACAAAGGCCAAATATTAATTTCATATTGAATAAAAGATACAAAGAAATACATTATGGCATCTGGTGCGAGTTGCCTCCAGGCACAATCAATTTTACTAATAAATTGTTAAAAATAAAAGACTACCGTTTCCAACTTTCCATTTCAATCGTTAAAAGTCGACAAAAGTTCATTTCAAATTGGCGCAATACATTTCCATGATAGTTCGACCTACATACCAAGTTATGGTGCATTCTGCATGAAATATTCCAAAGAGCAATGGTTAAATGTTCTTGGTTAGAGGCTAGGTTAAAGAGCACTCCTTACAAGCCACGTTTCAATGGGCATTATTCTGAAAACTGTCAAGGTTGTTTTATCTAAAGAGCCCTTTAACAATTCTTTTATTTAAGGCATGACAGTTGTAAGTAAGTCATCAGAAGTCACTATAATTCATCACATATCATCACAAGACACAAGTAAATCACAAGTCAATCAAACATTAGTCTAAACTCTCTAGCAACAAACAATTTAAATGAACTGTGACACAGATATTCCTATATTAACCAGTTCGCGCCAGATGACGTGTAAACACGCAAAGGTTTTGCGGTATTCGGAATGGATGACAAATAAACACGCAGGGAACGAGACTGAAAATATCTTTCAGTGACCTGCTCGCAGCGAGCGAGGCCACAAATATGAGTGTGCTGCCCGAGGGTGATGGCTTCAACCCGCCTGGCTTGAGGTCGACTGAAAAGTAATCCCGCGCCTCGTTCCATTCTTGTCAAAATATTCCTGGCGTGAACTGGTTAATTTGCATCCTCTCTAACTTTTGACCTGATTTGTCAGGGTTCCTGCACCTTTTCAGACAATAAAATGCCATGACTTTTTCATCACCATATTACAAAAATCAGCGACCCAGTTCATCAAAAGGCATATCAAAACTGTCAAATTGGTTTACAGGGCAACAGCAATTCAAATTATAATGCTCGTATCAGCAAAATTTGTCGGGTATACAAATCAGATTTCTATAGTGCTAAATTATGAAAATTCCGCGTCTTTCTCCAGACTTTTCCAGGCCAGAAAATTGAAAATTAAAATTCCATGACCGTTTCCACGTTTTATTTCCAGGCAGTGGAAACCCTGCTTAGACTTGAGACAGAATTGATTATGACTTTGCAATAGGTCTCGTTCAAATGACGTCATTCCCAACAGGCATTTTGAGCGTCAACTATTTGAGCGTCAACTATTTGGAACACAAGCATGCGTTTTTTTAACATTTTCAATACTGCGTAATGCGTGCATGATTGCGTAAAATACGCAGTTGCAGTTCTCTTACAGAAATGACCGTCATTGAGCGAGCCCTATATGATACAAATCATACTAGACTATGCATCATGATGCATATCAAAGTTTTAGATGGTATCTGACATCACTACATATTGTTACAACCCTAGATGTAACTGTGCCTTTAGGGGACCAATAATATAAAACAAAGTTGGCTGAATATAACTCAATAAAATTACTGCAAACATTTTAAGAATTTCAGAGTTCCAAGACACAGTCAAGTTCCCTATTCTTGGCATACAAAAATTGTTTTCCAATATCAAACTGTCAGATAAACCTTTGAATAAGTCAGTTGGCATAAAATGTTCAGAACAAAGACAGCTATTTTGTATTCTTCTTTACATTTGCACCTCTTTCAGGGTTAAGATTTTTTTCATTTTCTTGCGAGGGACCCACTTTAGCCTTCACTGGTGCCCTATCAGAGATCTAAATCTTCCACACTTCCCACTTGACTGGGACTGACTACTTGACATTCAGAGAGCAAATTCTGGCCAATTTTCTCACGAGGGATCAACTTTAGCATGACTGGTGCCCCGACAATCAAAGATCCAAATCTTCCATACTTCCCCACGTGGGACCAACTTTAACCTTCACTGGTAGCCTGACACTCAGCACCAGTGCTGATTCCATCTCTGCCTTCACCAGCTGTGCCACCTGGATGACATCCTCCCTGTGGACCTCATAGATGAGCTCATCGTGTAGCTGAAGTACCAGGAATGCCCCAGAGGGAGTAGTGGCGACACCTTTACGGCCCTTCTTGCGTTGGGTCAAACCTTGGTCAATACAAAAATTGATACATGTAATTAATGAAGAAAACTACAAACTCTTTTAAATCCCGGAATAAGTTCAATGTAAAAGTGTCTCCGAGATATATTTTTATCCTGTTGTCGGCCCAATCCAATGGGGTGTGCAGTCAGGCCTGGATTTGTGCACAGGGCCTACCAAAAACTTGGGGCTTACAAAAAATTTGGGGCCTACGACAATAGACCACAGCGAATGCCTATTTCGCCGTGTAATAATTTTGCGTGAACAGATTTGTGAATTAATGAGGCAAGACCCCGCCTCTTGATCTCGGGAGATTTTGACCAATCAGCGGGCGCTTCCTATATCGAGTCTTCGGTCATTCACTCGTTGAGCGTCACATAGACAATTGATTAAAAAAAAACGTGTCACGCGATATGGGGCCGGTTGTTGTTGCATTACAAAACACTGCATTCGAATTGACCAATCAAACCATTTAGTCCTGATTTGGGAATGAAATGACGTCACAGTTTTGTAAAGTCGACTAAAGTTGGCTACGTGGATAATGGGTGATACTCAGACTACCTTGAATTGGCACCCCCCTGCTTTTCCCCTCTTTTTTCGTTTTTCCTCTAGGCCTAATTGTCACAGATAGACTCATATTGATCTCAAAAGGTTCAAGAATACTTTTATGCTGCTGCTGCTGCATGACTAACTTATCAAGTTATCAAGTAAAGTTATCGCAACGAATGATATTCAACAAATTCTGTGTTTGGGAACCTTTAATGCTGTGTCTCACCTGATTCAAACTCGACCCTGTGGCGATGAGTCACCTTCGTGTTTGGGAACTCCTCGGCCAGCCTGCGGTCAATCTTGACCATGGCAAGCTTGACCAGGTCAGCTGCCGAGCCCTGGATGGTGGTATTGACCGCCTGTCGCTCGGCCTGGCTGCGGGCGGCTGGATTGGCGTGGGTGATGGCTGGCAGGAATCGCTTACGATGGAGGATGGTCTCCACGAAGCCGGTGGTCCTGCAACGCTCTACAGTGTCCCGAATATAGTTCTTCATTCCTGTAAGTGAGATAAATTCGTGGAATTATTATGGTTGTGTGGGATTCTGGCAAAATGAGTCACAACTAGATAAAGGTCGAAATAAATGTTTGTGGGTATTTAGGAAAGAGAATAAAATTCTCCTTACAATGCTGTTTGTTTAACTTTAGTTGGATATTCCGTTGACAAGTTATGGCAATTTAAAGTTTGCATTTAACGACATGTTTTTATAACTTTTCTAATGAGAGATGCCAAATGTTTTTACTCAAAAACACCTTTATTTCTTTAAAATATGTGTAGAAGACATATCACGGACAACAAATACAGGCATGCAACTGGGAATTTAGAAAAACTTCAAACCAAACAAGACTTTGTACAGCGTTTTTCAATTTGTAATGGCATTCATGAGAAGTAAAAAATGAGGAAATTTGCAGATCCAGGGAAAAGTTACATGCCTGTAAATATCAATAAATCTGAAAATCGAAAAAAAAAAAAAAAATAACCACTCTTGGTTTTATTCATTTTTCTCCACTATGGCCTGTGCCCAGTTATGTCTCATTTAGCTACAATGCCTCACATTTATGTCTTGGGGTAAATTTCATAGAGTTACCTAAGCACATAAATTTGCTGAAGGCAATAAAATAAAAGATCAAATATAATATATAAAACAAATATTGAGTGACTTTAACTTGTGATACGGGAAAATATTATCGCTTGGTAAAATCTGGACTTTTTCAGCTCAGTTGGCTTCGCCTCGTGAAATGGAAGAGTCAAGATTTGACCATGTGATAATTTTCCCCCATTTTACTCCAAGGCCAAAAAAAAAAGTCTCCGGTGTCTGGTATGCGCTCGCGTCGCCGTAGCCATGCGCGTCGGCAAAATGAAAAAGTTTTTTTTTCAATGAAAGATGATGTCTCAAAACCGCCAAACTCACTGGTTTGACTGGAATCCTGCTGCTGCACAATTTAAACGTGTTTTTAGATTGGGTTATGGTCGAGAATAAGCTTTATGTGGCCCCTCTGGACTCCCATATATTTGCACTAAGTTTAGTCGGGCACCATTTGCTTTCATCAGCCGACATTTGAATAAAAAAAATCAGGTAAAAAAAAAAAAAAAGCCGCGTCACCGCACCACTTTTTGAGCAAGCTCCATACCAGAAACCGGAGACTTTTTTTTTTGGCCTAAGCTACTCAATATTTGTATACTGAAGGTTTTGCAACGCATACAGTGAGGGGGAGAGGCATACCTTTGTATTGCATCTTGAAGGAGTCCATGAATGCCGCTGCATCTTCCTCGGACTCTCCTAGCTGCTGACCCAGCGCCTTAGCTCCGATGCCGTACACCATCCCATAGCACATCTAAAAGAGTAAATTTTAAGTGTCACACATTAAAAAATAATAACAAAATAAAAAAAATCCTCATCAAAAAGTAAAAACAAATTGGTACAGGCCAACATAACACCACAACTCTCAACCCTGTGTATTATTTGGAGAGAAAGTCCAAGTTGGACAACTGTTCGTTACTTGTCTTTATCCAACACACCTCATAATCCAAAAACAGGTTACATCATAAATGGTTTCTCTACATAAATACAACATAAAGCTTTTTTATATAACCGACATACAGATCCTTGTCATTTGATTGGTGGAACTCACATCATATGACATTCGTTATTGCGCCCATTCACGCCACGGCTCAAAAAGTACTATCCGCTCATGGGGAATGGAAAAGACTATTCAACAGTTAGGAACATGATGTGGTATTTGTGTGCAATTGCATGCTGGTGTGTGCGTTCAGCGTTGCGCGTAGCGCGCATTGTTCCAAAGAGCCAGCGTTGGGTTCAAACATTTTCATGAAGGGGTGGTTTGGAAGAGAGAAATACATTTTCCTCCAGTTTTGTATTGAAATAAAAGTTCAAATATATCAAATGACAAGGATCTATATGTCAGTTATATAAAATAAATATTGAGTGGCTCAGCGTGGAATGGGAGGAATATTATCGCTTGGCAAAATCTTGACTTTTCCAGCTCACTCGGCTTTGCCTCGTGAACTGGCAAAGTCCAGATTTTACCTTGCGATAATATTCCTCCCATTCCACGCTGAGCCACTCAATATTTGTATACCACAATTCAATAAAAATTATCAGCAGACAACGGCTACGTCTACTGGCAGTGTTTTCCACAAAGACCTGGACACTTTACATAGCTCTAGATGAGAGATTCAGACTAACTGAAACAAGTGAATGGTAAGGTCATGGTCGTGTACCCGAGCTCATATACCTGCTTGGCTTGTTGGCGTAGATTGGGGGTAACCTGACTCTCTGTGGTCTGCTTCCACTGAGCGGCGATGCACTTGAAGACGTCTCCGCCACCGTTCAAGATGCCGGCCAGCTTGCTGTCTCCTGACAGATGGGCTAGGATGCGCAGCTCCAGCTGAGAATAGTCAGCAGCTAGGAGAACACCTCCTGGGGCAAAAAAATACAACAATCGATGGTAAAGCCCATTCAGGTCATGAAAAAATTTGGTGGACTTGACACCATCTGCAACCTGCAAGTTTGCGAAGAGAAAACTTATGACAAGAATAAACCGGCCTTTTAAGAGTAAAGGCTAGTAAAGAGAAACTACACAAAGATCACAGAGAACCACTCACCTTGAAATGGGCAGAATGCATGCCGCACACTGACAGCACATGATGGACCAGGTTTATCCCCTTCCTTGCTCATGCTAGCACCCCTAGTCTGCTGACCTCTCCCCTGGGTCTGTCTCACCCTAGCCCTGGTGGGGTATGACTGAGCAGGGGCCCCCAGGGCTAGGGGTGGGCTCTCACCGATGGCAGACGGCATCTCAATCTCAAAGTCGCGGGGGATGGCCTGGATGTTGGGGTCGGATAGGCAGACACGACCTGAGAGAAAAAAGTATCAAGGAATTCAGCTGTCACTGCTTTGAAATAATGGCTCATCTCAATTCATATATCTGGGACAAGTTTCGGACAAGTTGCGGACACGTTGCGGACACTGTATCGGTTATAGGTTGCAGGATTCTGAACAACTTCTCCTCAATCTTCCCGCAATGAAGTTATCAGTATTTGCGAGTCAAGCTCGTGAAATTTCCCCGGAAAATGTCCGGAACAAATGTAGAGCTTCTTCTGGACAACGTGAATGATTCTACCTGCAACTTGTCCGGAACTTGTCCCGGATATGAATTGAGACAGGCCCTAAGGTAAACATACAGTAAACTCCGGCTAAGACGGCACTCTCGGGACCAGAGAATTTGTGACGGCTTACGCGAATGTCGGCTTCTGCTGCAAGTCGTCATTTTGCCGACTTACACAAATACACAAATTGAATCACGGAGTGAAAAAAAAATTGATTGAAGAAATGGCCTATGCGCATCTGTATCTCGACCATGCAAACAAGATTCATGGCTAAAATTCAAAGGCTTTGATTTACCCTGGTTTATTTCTACATCCATGGTTGATTCCAGCATATATATCCTCATGGTTTATCATCACAAACAGGCTGTAGTATTGATCACAGAAAGTCATGCATGTACATGTACGTACGTACGTACGAAGCAAGGACGGCGCGGCCGGCTAGCGTTAACAGTGGTACGATATACAGATCGCTTGCATACTGTACGTCCATGTACATGCAGTGTACATTGAGCACGTGCGTACGTGTACAGTCACGAATTAAATGTGTGCATGGTACTGGTACAATAAGGGGACCCCCAAAATGAACAGAGCGCATGCATGCAGTCGAGAGGGGGTACTGGTATTGATGTGCTATCGGGAAAACCCGAACGATGCACACATATGTACAGACGTACTGTGCATGAAACAGTGTACACGTATGTGCTGGCCGATGCATCAATCACGGACCGTGCCATTGATAAACAGATGTCAGTTTGCAGTGTGTGGGACTTTTCACTCGACACTTCTTGCAAACCGCAGAGCACGATGCCGGTTTATACAGAGGAATTTGTGTGGTTTTGAGGAAATGGGACTGAAAGTAACACGCCGATATAGGCGAAATGGCGGCTTACAAAGGCCGGCTTAGAAATGAAAATGTCAATGGAAATGCATTAGAGACAATCGGGACTTTCGTCAGACGGCCGATTTAAGCGATATGACGGTTTATACGATGTCGGTTTAGCCAGAGTTTACTTTAGGTGGTTTCAAAACCCTGGTTTACTGCCAGCCTGGACATAAGCTCTGGCTACAGAATCACTGAGAAGCCTTTAATATTCAAGCAAATGAGAATACTCTGAACTTGCCCTCATGTTTTTTTATTTGACGTTCCTGAAGCAGACCAGGGATAAATTTGATGTCAGAGACCCTCAAGTCTGGGGTCTAAACTTCATAAAACCAAAGCAAGAGAAAAAAGTTTCAAAAGCCAATTATATTTCAATAAAATCTGCTAAAATTCAGCATGGTTTAGGGTTCATCAGTGACTCTACTTAACTCTAACTTTCTAGGGGATGCGAAGAATTCTATTAAAATTGGAGGATTCGGGACTGTTAGGGTTTATCTTATTTGCAAACTCAAGTCCGAGGACTTTGCAAACATTTCCATTAAACTTTCAGAACTGTCAGCTGTGTCATTACACTCATATTCCTGCTCATTCAAATGGTGTTTAGGCTTGATTCCTACTTAAATAGCAGTATATTTGGAGACTGAAAAAAGGCTCCAACTACGTTCACTCGTACCCCCCGCCCTGCAAACAGGACGCTTGGATACTCTAATGAATTCACGCTCTGATTGGTTGGATTTTGCTTGACCAGTGACCTGCACGTCATCAAGGTCTCGACTCTGCAAGGTTTGAAACGGCCGTTAAAACTGATTCATTACTCTTTTACTCCAGTTTAGAGATGTTTTTTTCTCGTTGAAAAGCATAATAATGTAGGAAATTCTGTACAACTTATCCGTGTTGTAAATTTACAATTCCCGTCACTCGCTCAGGCTCCGTTTCGAATCACGAACGGTCGGATTGCATTATGCGACGCTCAAAATTTTGCCCACATGGTCCGCAATGAAACAGAAATCACATCCGGTATGGAATGGGCGCAATTCTATGGGAAGTTTTCGGATAGCATTTGCGCACATTGTCTAACTGCGGTCTTGAACAGCTGCAGCCAGATGCTTTATACATAGGTCATAGGCCACTTCCTTCACAAGATTCTGTGAAGCTCATCAGAGTATCCCAGCATTCTGTTTGCAGGGCAGGGGTACGAGCGAACCAACTACGATACTTCATCTTGCTAACGGATGCAATACATTTCGGCTACAATTTGGCTGCACAACCTATTGCTGTACCTGTAGCAGTGTGGGTCTGGCAGGATGCATAAATCCTCTCCCCTCCCAGCTTAGAGTCCGCCTGTCTCTCCTTCAGCAATGGATACACCACCTTGGTCACGGCTGCTGTGATCCGACGCCACTCCAGCACTACGCCGGGCAGAGGGTGGAAAGGCCGAAGCTTCTCCAGGGAGTTCTTGCAGGTGCTGAAGTGTTTCGGCAGGCGGGCCCTGCCGCCCCGGCCACCCAGAGTCTTACGCAGGGGAGCAGTGGTGGTTAGGCTTGGGTCACCATTGGGAGGCAGTCTCAGTTCAACATAGAGGACCTGCATTTAGAGGCATTTGAAGTCAAGGTTTACAGAAAGTAAAAATAAAATCCTGCAACTGTTTCTGATGTATGAAGCCCGGTTCATACTTCATGCGAATGCAAATGTGAAGCGAATTTGACGTCATGAAACATTCGCAATGAATTTGCCCGAGTTGAAATGTGTTCAACTTTTACGAATTCGCACTGCGAATACTTTCTCCATGACGTCACAAATTCGTGTTCGCTTTCGCGCCGATTATGAACCGGGCTTGATGAATAGCATTATTGGAGCATTTTTTTTTTTTACTCAAGTTAGTTCTCTAGACTTGGGACAAAAAATCTTTCCTTGTGTCGTCGTCCACAATAACACTCCTTACTGTGATGTCATCAGAAATATAACATAAATCTTACCAGTATCTGCAGACACAACAAACACAAGTTTTTACATGGCTCTGGACATCAGAGCAAGTAAGCTATGTGTTAATTCGCCGATGAAATCAGAGTGAGAAAGTTAATTTTTTTTAAAGTCTTTAATGGGTACGGGAATAAGGAAAGATTAATTTGTCCGAAATCTTGAAAAAATACGGAAACCAAAAAAAAAATACTCCAATTTAAAAAAAAAAAATGTTTGGGGTATTAAACAATGTTCCAGAACTATTACTAAATTTCTGTAGGTTAAAGCTATAGTCCATCATTTGCAGCTATCCGAAAAGTAACTGGCGTAATTATTGTTGAAAAACATACTTGGTTGAAAGATAGTAAGGGGAATAAACTCCCTGTGAAATTATTCTTTCTGGCAAGCTGTCATTTTGAAGTAATCAACAAAAGAGTGCCTTTCCATAGGAAATTTTAATTGAGTAGTTCGTTTTGTTATTGGAAGCATTGGCAGGACGCACACGCGCGCACGCCCAGTTGCTATAATTCGTTGAATCAGTGCGCGACATTGCGTAGCTGCAATCGGCTCAGTGAGAACGTGTGTCGGATGCTGAATTCAGTCCCAATTCAAAACATGATTCAGCAACTTTTGATCTGAAATTGAGATCCTAGAATGCTGTTTTTCTCGGAATATACAGCATTCACTGAGCTGAAACTTCATCAGGTTAGTTGTTCAGTACCCTTCTTTAGATTTTGAGCACTTTTGTTGCTTCAAACGAACAAAATGCACAACTTACAAATGATGGACTATATCTTTAAATCACAAGCTATTGCAATGAACTGTGACAAAGGAATTACTTCATCATTGTTCATCCCCTGTTTCCTATGAAAGGACTTGTGACCGACTTATTGTATTGGACTACAACGCTAAATCTGAGGGTGGCGAGTACTTCACGGTAGCAAGCATGGCAAGGGCAGCAAATGTATGTCATCTTGTATCACCTGAGCAATATCTTCTGGGGATGTGAGAGAGAACCCGTGTCCAGCCATCTGATAGGCCTGCTCCTCTAGCGCTGCCAGCTTGGTTTGCATGACGGCCTTCTGGGATTCACACTCTGCCTGGCTGAAGCCGAAACCTGTCAGCTCCATGCGGGCCAAGACTCGCATGCAGGGCATTTCAACCTGCGGAGGAAAAGGTGGGGATGATGCATCAAAAAGTTCAAGTACTGTCACAGGATGTGCTCAGAACTACCATCACTTCTTGTTCCCCTGTTGTGTACTTTCAACTGCTCTACACAATTTGCTGCCTGATTTCATTTGTATGCTGAAACTGCCTGGCCTTTTTAATCACTGTACAGGGTGAGTCAAAAAAAGCAAAACCCAAATGTTGGGACTTCTGTTTTAGTGAAGTTCTGCATGTAGCACTTCCAAAATCTAGGATATGAAAACCCAATTCATAAGCTATCTTGTAGTACAAGAATCATTCCAATCACTCGTGTACTTTTTAAGTAACAGAATTTTTAACACAACCACTGTTTTAAAGTTCTGTCCACGGATCACAAAAAATATGTGTGTTCTTTCAGGAAAACGAAACAATTCACACACATCCCTACGTGATTTGTTTTCGTTTTGCTGAAAGAACACTAATAACTTCTGTTGATCTGTGGACAGAACTATAAAACGGTGGTTGTGTTTAAAATTACGTAACTTCAAAAGTACATGAGTGATTTGAATGATTCTTGTGCTAAAAGAAAGCTTATGAATTGGGCTTTCATATCTTAGATTTTGGAAGTGCTACACGCAGAACTTTACTAAAACGATGGCCCCAACATTTGGGTTTCGGTTTTTTTTACTCACCATGCAGTGCCCAAAACTGCCCCAGCATTCTATGTTTTTATTGACTATGCAGTAAATAAACACACGTGTAATACAATGTATTCCGTATTTACTCCATGTCACACAAGGTAATTTAAAAGGAACCTTTTCCAGGCAATCTCAAAGAGGAAAGCACCAAAGCAAATTTAAATTCCCTGAAAAGTGCTCTGAGGAATTGGTGAATACTGTTGATAAAAACTCAAAAACTATCAGCATGGAAAAAAATGGGGGGGGGGGGCGATCATATTGAAGAAAATATCACCAGGGAAAAAAGGGCAGATTCGCTTCATTTCAGTTAATTTTGATCTGTAGTGGACATGTGGATTCAATGGCCAAAAGGCACAGGGTACATAGAATTCGAAAAATTATTTGAAACTTTACATGGTTGGTTATCACTAGCAACCAGGTCTTCTCAACATTTCTACAAGTGTACTCTAGTCTCTGTCAGGAGAAAGATGGTTATTTCACCTCGGTGAATGCTTTGTAGAGTCTCTCCTCCTTCAGTGTAGGTTCCAGATGATCCATGAGAGCCAGGACCAGAACAGACTCTGTCGCGGCCCTGAGACGCCCTGTCCCTGGCTCCTGGGACATCAGACCCAGGCTACCCAAGCCCAAGCCACCACTCAAACCTGATGTAGAATACAAAGGAAATTGATTGTCAGTCACGCCAATGGGTGTTTACAAATGATCAATCGACCTTTCAACCCATAAATGAACTACTGATGACATCACTATTGCTTACTGCAGAGAAAGGTCATAATAATGGGCAACAGACATGTTTTGGCCGACTATAAATTATATGAAGTTAAAAACTAGTTGGTTTAACATTTTTTTTTTTTTAAGTTGCAGGTCTTTCCAGAAAAATCTCGGATCCGATGTCTGACATTTTCCCAGTCCCTGTTACCTCTGATCTTTGTAATTTGCCATATAAGTATCATTAAAAATGACATCAAACTATTCTGTATTTGGTGGATAGGTAGTTCAATCTCTAAGAAAGAAAGCTTGAAGAAGCATCCAGAATAACGATGTCAAAAAATCAAAAATGTGGTTCCTAAATATAGAATAACCCTCATGTATTTCAAATAAACTAACTCTTGTTGGACATTGATTTAAAACTAAAAGTTGTGAAAGAGAAATTATTGTCTTTTTGTTTTAAATTAAAGAAATAGAAGGAGATTTTTGGCTCAAATCATCATGGTAAACAAGTAAGATTTGAGGCTTTGCATGGTGGAGATACTAAATAATGAAAGGTTTGCGGAAACACCATGTGCGAATAATTTCTCAACTAAGAGAATGGTTCTGAAAAGAACCAGAGGTATAAACTTGACGTTCCGGTCAGTATGCTCTGACCGTCTTCTCTCCTGCAGACGGTCAGAGCATACTGACCGGAACGTCGAGTTTATACCTCTGGTTCTTTTCAGAACCATTCTCTTAGTTGAGAAATTATTCGCACATGTTGTTTTCTGCAAACCTTTCATTATTCATCATGGTAACACTTATAATTCTGTGTGTGCGAAAACAAGGAAAAGATGAAAATAGTATCACGATGGAAAAAACATGTTGCAAATTCAACTTGCAACGGGCAGAGTCAGATAAATGCCTTCAATACTGTAGGCCTACCTTCTAGGATTTGACCATCCTGGGGTACGTAGTGGGTGACCAGTCCATGCAGATTTCTCTCCTTAGCTCCAGGATCAATCAGCCAGTGAGCCACCTTAGGGTCTGCTAGTCCACCGCCGAGGCGGATGCCACAACCACGACTCAAAACTTTGTACTATAAATAATGCACAATAATACTTATACATGTACATGTAATGAGTTCATTGCATATGATGCGCCAATATAATTGCCTGCAGAAGTAGTGCATGTGCACTAGTTTTCCCCATATTTCGGGAGGAGATTTCATAAGATTCCCAAGACGTTGTTGCGATTGCGGTTTGTGGGCGATAGCTTTTCGTCATGATAATGTATGATAGTGTATAACACTGTCTTTTCCTAAGACTATCTGTTTACTAGTGCAGATGTCTTGCAACAGAGCTTGCTAAGATTGACGAGAGAGACCCACGTTTAAAGGGACACTGCGTCCTGGAATACGCCCAATTGGGCTACAAAACGCGTTTTGAACGAAATGATGTTAATCGGAAAGAACCTTTAAAAGTAGGATATAAACATCCACACAACTATCCTTTAAAAATTGGCCGCTTCTGTAGTATTCTTGTGTTATTCGTGCGAGAAGGACTTTCGGGGTCCACTTTGCGACCCCAAAAAGTCGGGCTGTTCATGCTAGTTGTGATTCCAGCCGTAAGGGTTCGCCTTTTGCGGATGTGTAAGAAATACACAACATTAGACACACACATGTATCGTACATTGTATGAAAACGACAGGAAACACGTATCATACTCCGATGTAAACAATAGGTTTTTTTTTTGTCTTTTCTCGGGAATTGCAAGACATTAGGTTGGTTTCCTTTCAACCAGATGTTTGAAATAGGAAAAGTAAACAAGCCAAAACATGAAATTTTCTGGGATTTCAGGATGCAGTGCCCCTTTAAGTTCTGTATGAGTTGTTTTACATGTTTATTAAGTTTTTCATAATCTCTTAGAAATCACAGAGCTCAAACATATTTAGTAACCCAGAAATACAAGTAGCCATCGTCAAACAAATGCCAATTGGAAGTCGTCAGGGATCTTACATGTTCTTTGCAGTCAAATGCCATTTTGACAACTTCCTGGGTTCTGTTGCGCACTGATAACTTCTCTAATTCCAGGTTGGTCTTCACTGCTTGCAGGCGTTGAGCGACTGGTAGCCTTGGGTCCAAAGGGGGCTGAGCTAAGCTGTCATCTGGATCAACTGAAGTGATGAAATTACATTGCTTTCACTTTCTCAATTTTGCTCACAGATGAAACTGAACTTTGGATGATCACAAAGGGAAATGCATTTTATAAGGAACATTATTGGTGTTTTTTTAGTTTCTTCGATTACAAGCTACTGACCATTGCTAAGTTCCCTCTGGAAGGATATGAAGTAGGCATCTTTCTCCTCCCAGCAGATTGCTAGACCAATCACAATCAAGCTCTCATCTCCTACTTGGAAACCATCCAGTGCATCAGGCTTCTTGGGTCTTGGGGCAGCTTTAAGAAAATAACAAGACAACTTAATCATTATCTGCTTTATCACTGGTGTTTCTGGTGATGCAACCAAAGATTTCTTGAAGCTCACAAGAATAAAAAAAATGTGGACAGAAGACAATTACAAAAATGATACGTTGGGGAGGTGGGAGGAAACCCCAAGACAATATTCTAGGGAAAACAACAATATAAGGGAGAGACTGACAAATCTTTCTGCGTTTTGGTCTGGTGGGATTCGAACCCGAGACATACAAAGAAATTTGGGAAAGAAAGTAGCATCCAGACGCCACTTCTTTGGTTGTGTACAAAGTCTATGGAGAGATAAGTACAGTTTCAAAGTTTCGTCTAACAAAATTGGAAATGTTTCTCAATTCCAGATCCATGTCTTTTCAACATCTGTGCAATGACTGACCTTCAATATATGATGAAAAAAGTGGCGTCAGGATGCAACATTCTTTCCTTAATTTGATTAAGGGCACTGATGAAATTTGACAATTGCCAGAGGTTAGAGAAGTATTTAATATACAGGCTTACCTTGTCTAATGTTCCCTCCAATTCCTCTACCTTCCACTGGCGGATGGTATCTCTCACAGGCCACAGAGAGGGAGTACCTGGATTTGGTACTCCACTCCTTCAGAAATGTGTGGAACAGCTCCTTACTGGAGCAAACATCGATGATGGTGAAGGTACCCTGCGTGTTGGAGACCTTGGGAGATGAGTGCTGGATTGAGGCAAGATGCTGGGCCTCCCTGGAGGATGCACTTCTTTGAGAACTGCAGGGTCTGCCCTTTGGTGGAGTAGGAGGCTCAACCTCAAAGCTACTCTCGCTGTCCAGGTGAAGATGGAGCTCAGGGAGAATCGCAGCGTTCAAATCATCGTGAGAATTCAGTGGTGATCCAAGTTGTTGTGTGTTGGGAGGTGAAGCCAGACGATTTGGATGAACTGACTGATTTGATCTTGGAGACTTTCTTCTCTTCTGAGATTGGTTATTTTGTTGATTCGCTAAGCTTCTGGCTACCTTAGAAGACTTTGTACCTTGTTTATGGTCAGCTGATAATCGCTCTCTAAGACGCAACGATCGAGGGGTATCTTCCTCTGTAGAGATATCTCTTGAAGATTTGTGCTTGGGAGTTCCTTTGAAAAGCTTTGGGGTGTTTGGTTTTTCTTTCGGCGGTGTTGGAGATATGAGATCACCATCACTCTTTCTCCTGTTGTCTGGTGTCTCACTAGTTGGTTCATCATTGACTGAGGGACTTCTCTCCTTCCGGAAAGGTTTCTTAGTTGGTATGGGTTCTCCAACAAGTTTTGAGACACTTTCTGAGCTTCTTCTTTTGAGCCGTTCAGCTCTGGTGGACTTAGTCTCCTTGTTTGTAGATACAAGACCGGGATCACTACTCAGGTTAGTATTGCGGTGATATGTACACGGAGACTTTCCGCTAACGGTTGCAGAAGTGGGATTAATGACAACTGTTTTTGTTGACTTTCCCATTGACTTGTATTCGTTAGTGCTGCTTGCATGCTGTCCATTGCTTCTTTTCGGAGTCTTAGGTTTCAACTTAGAGGAAGGGCAAGATGTCTTAGAAAATGAATCTCCAGCAAAAAGATCCAACATTTCTATAGTGCCTGGGCTCAACTGCTCATCAAATTTCTTATCAGTACTACTATCTAATAAAGGTGTCTCTCCAAATCTTGCTGCCCTACTTGTACACCTTTTCCTCAATGTTGTGGAAGACTTTCCAACTTTTGCAGTGCTACATAAAGTCTTTGGAGGTGTTTTTACATTACAAATGTCGCCATTCATTCTACCATTCTTGTTTGCATTCTGGCCATTTGAAGACATGACATTTCCCTTCTGTTGAAGCTCTGAGACACATTTGCCACCGGAATCAGATATGCCAACCTGTTTGTTCTGGACAGGATTCGATTTGGGCAGTGACGTAATAGCCTCCCGCTCCCCTTCATCAAAAGAGAAAGAGTCATTCCACTCTGCTGCTAGAGCCAAGTCTGCTTCTAGCTGTGAGTAGACTGGAGGCTCTCCTTTCTCCATATTCCCTGTGGCCATGCCCTCTAGTGTATCCCTGACTGAGCAAGATTTTCTTCTACTGTTCACGTGAGCAAGATGGCTTGCATTTGGCTTGCCTGGCCTATAACTCCTGTTTGGATGTTTTAGAGAAGTGCTCTGAGCAGTGCTTACACCTTCCATGAGAGGCTCAGTTCGATCGATGACAAATGAGCACTCCAAGGTCTCTGCAAGATCAAGTGACATCTCCTCATCTTGGAAGAACTCTGAGTATGGTGATTCTGTCTGGCAGAAAGTCAAGACAAGCTTTTGCTTCTTGTGTGAACTTGATCTTGTCTTTACAGTGCTCTTTCTCTGAATGCTCTTGAGTGAATTTTTTTTCCTGGTGAATTTCGCAGACATCTTTGTTTTGTTGTGAGACTTTAAGGCAGGGGATGCCGATTCTGCAGCTAGGTCATTCTTGGAGGTGTGGAATCCATCGATGAGGTTCAGGGCCTGGGAGTCCAGGGTTTGAAAAGATGTAAACTGAAGGTCTGCAGCTGCTGCTGGTGTGGCGGACTTCTGGTCTTGGGAAAGCCTCAGATCGCTTGTAGTACTGTCATTAAACAGGATAGCCTGGGAGTCCAGAGGGGAGTAGGAGGGTGATGATTGATAGGATTTGGATGATGAGATGGGAGTTTTGTCCCCATCTCGTTTCACCTGTAGATCTTTCTTAGACTCTTCCTCTTGGTAGCAATCCATTAGTCTCAGAACTTCAGGATCAAGAGGTGAAAAGGCTAGAGAAGACTGTGACTCCTGCACCAAAGAAAACTTGGCATTTGTAGACATTGAGGGGTTCTTGGGATTTTGGACGTTGGTCGGTGGTGCTTCTTCAACCACTTGGATGGGGTTCTGATTAATATTTGCTGATGTTTCTAGTAAGTGAGCATTTTCTTGTTGCTCAAGGAACTTAAGCATTTGGGAATCAAGAGGAGAAAAGAAAGGAGAGATTGGCAAAGAGTTCTTTGGGGAGGGTTTATCGTTTTTGGCAGGTGTATTTATCACATTGTTGGGAACGGGAGTTTCTGTTTGCATGACTGGAGGGCTGTTTGGGAGGGAGAACAATTCTGGAGATGTTTCCTGCACAATTTGTTGGTTATGGAGTGTAGCTGCTTTAGGGGTGGTGAGGTCTTTCACATGTTTCTTGATGACAGCGTCTGATGTTGAAGCTGTGCCTTGATTGGCTGCAATCTGGTTGGTACAACGTTCCCGTACAGACACAACCATCTCATTGGACGACTGGGGACTGATATGGATAACAGAATTGCAATCAGACATTGGTTTAATTTTACTCTTGGATTTTGAGGTACTTTCTTTTATTCGTGGGTTGGATTCACAGTGTTTAGCGGGGCTGAAGTTTTGAAAAGAAGTACTTCCCGACAGTGAAGCATCCATGTGAACATCAGCCTTGATTGTCAGAGTTCTACCTTGGCCCATTGTTCTTGTGCAGACACCATTTGCAGGAATCACTTGTGTTGTACTGTTTTGATGCCTTAGTTCCTCTGCTGGAAAGATGGATGCACTGACTGGTGGTTTAGTCTTACTCGACGTATCATTTGTAGTCTTTTGAGCCACCTTCGATGGGGAAAGTTGGCACCCATCACGTTGGATATTCCTCACCAATCCAAGAGTTCCAGCTGCATCATTTGATTGATCTTTGTTGGTGTCAACTTTTACTGAGTGAAAGGATTTTAAATCAAGTACAGTTGTGCTGAGGTTGGTACTTGACGGTTGAATACTTGATGGCATTGTCCGCTCCTTATTCCAACTCTCATCAACAATATTGACAGATCTCAGAGGATGAGGAGGCTCTTTTTGTGGCTTCAATTGTACCCGAGGAGCTGCTTGCTGAACAGCAGATGGGCATTGGTCTTTCACATCACTGTTACTTCTTGGAAGTTGAATTCTCGATAGCATTGTCCTCTCCTTATCTCTACTTTCATCAGCTACATCACCAGATCTTATTAGGGGACTGTGAGGCACCCCTTGTGGCTTTGATTCTACCTGAAGAGCTATTTCCTGGACAGCAGATGATCTTTGTTCTTTTGTATCGCAGTTGATTCTTGGAGGTTGAATTCTTGAAGGTGATACCTTCTTCTCATTCTGAATCTCATCAGCATCATTGTGTGATGTCAAGGAACGAGGAGGCTCTTCTTGTGGCTTCCACTCAACTCCAAGAGCTCCCAAGTCTGCCTTCAAGAGGTCCTTGGCTTCCTGAACTATCAGCAGGGCAGCCTGCTGCTCTGTCAGGCCCTTGCGTCCTGTGACCCAGATGCAGCGTGAGTGCTTTCTCTCTTCAACTTCATATTGTTGTTCATCAATGGCTTTTCGTGAACTGAAAGGCAAACATCAACACAGAGTTTATTCAAAGACATTCTTATTTTAAATTAAGCCGCCTACGACCTGGTGGTTAATATTGTAGCTAATTATAGAAGGATTAGGTATTTGAATTCAGATACTGGCTTCCTCTATCCTTGAGTATAAACGGGACACTTCATGCCAAAACTAGATGCTTTGCAGCTCTTAAAAAATGCAAAACGTGCAAATTAATTTTTATTTTAAATGCAAACATTGCAATACGGAATCATGTTCGACTTATTTTTATCACACCTCTGGAAGGGTACAGCCCTGCGTAAGACACTTTCCACATCTGCTGGCTTGGCCGCAGCCACAGCCGCCACAGAGGCAAAGCCGCTGTTGTACAGCAGCCTGGCGCGGAAGGCGTTGAGAAGAGAGATCCGGACGAGGTCGCAGAGTTCACGCTGGACACCAAAGGTCAGACGGCTCTGGTACTGGGCCAGGAGAAGCTCCATGTTGGTCCAGCCAAGCTTGCTGCAGAAGGCTGTCACCATACCTACAGCCAGACCATAGAAAATATCCTTCACTAGTATCAAATTACTATTTGGTAATTAATGTTTGACAAACAAATATATGTTTGAAATCAGAGGTCATAGCTTATGTGTAGTTAAACTTGGTATGTGGCAGAGTTGTAGTCGAGTACTTTCTGAGTACTTTCCAAGTACTTTATTTATTACCAAGTATTGAGCGGTTTCTTGCGAACAACGCGAGAGAAACATTGACAGTAGACAACAAAATGATGTCAGTGTTAGAGAAAAGATTATTTTGAGACTTTGGTTACATAAAACCCCTTTTTAATTAACCTTTTGAGACAGAAGTACCCTAAAAGTACTTGAAAAGTACTTGGCGAGTACTTTCCAAATACTTTTGTCTTAAAAGGTTAGTTTGTCTAATGTGTTTAAATTCTTTTGGTGGGGATTTACTGTTCAGTGTCTGCTTTATGCAGCTTTCTCCATAACAAGCCATCATAATCTCTGGTAGTTAAGCTGGTACTAGGTACTCGACTACAACTCTGGTTGCAGGCTAGTTACTGCTTAAAGAACAAAATTATTAACCCTTCTAGATCTAACTCTAAAGCCCTTGCAATTACAGTACCTGCAAACGTGGCAGCAGATTGCTGTAGGCTCTGCAGCTGCCCCCTGGCACAGCCATACTTCCTGGCTGCCGCGACCACTGGCATCTCCTTGACCAAGTCATTGAGAATCAGCGTGGTGTAGAAGCGCTTGTGGACGGCCAGCGCGTGCTGCAGCCGGGCGTTGTGGGTCGAGAGGGCGCCCTGAGCAGCGCGGATCAGAAAGCGTTCCTCTACGCCCACCAGCTCGGCCACGCGACGCTGGTCTGAGGGTAGGTTCTCCCAGGTGCACATGAATTGGTACCAGTCGGGCTGGAAGCCTTGGTCATAGATTGGAGTTACCTGTTGATTTCAAGATAGGTACACATAGTTGATGTGAGTTATAGCAAATGAAACTTCTTATGGATAATGAACTTTCCAAAAGAAGACTCCTCCAAAACCATGTACCGCAGTTGATTCCATGGTAAGACATAATTTCTTGCAAAATGGTCCAAATGACTAACTTAAAGCATGCACAGTGCAAAACATTGAGTGTACATGTAATTCAATGCACATTCCATATCTTGCATTTCAAGTATTATTTCCGGGATGCCTATTTTGGAAATACTCTCTCCAAACACAGCAAATATGTAGCAAGTTATTTTGAACCTATCCGTCCAAACAACCAGCGCTAGCAGCAAGGATGGTGAGAATGTAAAATAGATTCTTTGCTAACAGTAGACCGATCCATTAAGCCCATACCTGTGGCTACATCTAAATCATGGCTTCAACATACGACCCTATTCTCTCAGACCGTCGTACTATAATAGCACCATCAACGACCAGAAGTTCATCGATACCTCAGCCATCGGTCTGAGGAAGCTTGCATGATGCTTGCGAAGATGCAATTTACCTTAAAGCTACATGTATTTAGTGATATACCTGTAACTCACTGTATACACTTGTATCTTGCTGTATTGACGCACACCGATGCGGTATTTTTATCATGCAGACCCTTATGAACAATCTGTGCTGCAACTTCCAAGATTTAAAATTTGGCTTTAGGTTTCTTTAACGGTACCCGTGTCTGGTTCCCAATTCCTGTACTTTGTAAAGCACACCCCTAATGTTCCAGCTGTACTCATTGTATGCACATGCTGGCACGTCAGACTTTAGTTCACACCTGTCGGACATCAATGACAGCTGTAATTGGTCAAAGTTGATGGATCATTTCATTGGGTACAAAGAGTCCAGAAACATGTTACGATGTACTATAGACCTTCGAATGCAGCTCAAACCAGAAAGACACATGGACCAGGCATGCAACTGGGAAATCACCAAAAAAAAAAGAGGAAATTCAAATTTTTCCCAGACTTTGTACAGTATTTTTCTATTTTCAATGGCATATATGGGAAGTAAAAAACAAGGAAAATCAGCTGATCTGAGGAAAAGTTGCAGGCCTGATGGACTGAGAGTCTGGCATTTATAAGCCAATACACATTATGAAATGATGAAAGGCGAAATGAGGCTTCACCTGGTAGAGGAGGTGCAGGTCGTTCTCCAGGACAAAGTTCTTGCGAGCTCTCTGCAACTCCGAGAAGACCACCAGGGCTTCGTCTGGGGATAACGCAGAGGCTAGGGTGGCACTGCCTAGCTGGGTGGGTCGCAACACTTCCTCAGACTCATCTGGGTATTGTGGGAATAATAGTATTTGTCACTCAAGTACTGAACTGGAAGCATTGATATAAATTGTCTGCACTCCGTTTCCCCCCGATTTTGATCCCGAAACCAACAATCTTTCAAAGTAATTCAAATGGTAAACAGTACAATCTCAGTAAACAATATTTTGAACGGTTTGTTGTGCACACCATACTTGATATCAGTTCCCAAAAGAGAAGTCCACACGATATATATGGAATTGGAACTGCAGCAATTCCCCATGAAACAGGCCATGCTCCAAGTGTTGATATGCTCTCTTTAATAGCGTCATATCTTTACAGACCACGTCCCAGAGTAATCAAGTTTCAAGACATCTTAAGTTGTCACAGGTCTTTTATTTCTTACTAAGGATTCCTCAAAAGCGCCTAAGGCACTGTAGCAATGAGAAGCAATTACAGTTTTAGAGGTGGGAGGAAAACCACAGAAGAAAATTCTTGGAAAATTAGGTAGGAACTGAAAACCCCAATACACATGTTGGCCCAGGCGGGATTCAAACCTGGGTTACAGCAGTGGAAGGCGAGGAAAGTACCGCTGGGGGGGGGGGGGGGGGGGGGGAGGGCAGTAACAATTCAGTCCAATTTCTTTTATGTAGAGCATGCAAGTCTCGCCAGTACACATTAATATTTGATTTTGGTACCAAACACTGACAAGCCTAGTCACAGACTCTCGTGCTTGCATTTACTCAATTGTTATTCTGCGTGTTTGATTGAATGGAAATTAACAATTTTAATTTGATAACAGTCATACATTTGCAATAGTTTTAATATGTTGCGAATTGAAATGCTATCTTTTCTTTCAAACTACCCATTTATTGCCCTTGAATGGATGGGCCAAGTCAGGACACAAAATAAATGCAAAAAAATAGGATGTTACACTGGTGTAGATCCTAAACGTGGTGGCAGGATGTGTTATATTCTCATAAAATCTTGCACTTGCATTTTATTGGTCAATTTGCACATATGAGGCGCCCTTTATGACTTTATTGCAAAACAATTATAGATAGAACAAAACAAACAAATATAGGACAAAACAAATAAAGGACAAAACAAATAGATATAGGACCAAAAAAAATATAGGGCGAAAATAGCTTCGTTTTTTACATATTGCAACTCTCCGTTGTGTATTAAGCTAGACCTACTTAAGCACCACTTAAGCACATTACATTTTCGTAACGTGAGTAACCGATTTTGTGCATCTTGTTTATCATACATTACACATTTTTCTGGATGTCATCTTTGGTGCTTAGGTAGGTCTAGGTCTACTCTATCTACCATGGGGATAACAGTTTCAGTAAGGTAATTACAGCCCAAGGAAACTCAAAAATACATCAAAAATGTAACGTGAGTAACCGTGGAATTGCCCCTATATTGTTTTGTTTCATCCTGTTTTTGTTTGTTTCGTTGTATATTTATTTGTTTCGTCCCATATTTATTTGTCTCATCCTATATATATTTGTTTCGTCCCATATTTATTTGTTTTGAACCATATGTATTTGTTTCGTCCCATACGTATTTGCTTTGTCCTATATGTATAAATTTGTTTCGTCCTATATTTATTTGCTTTGTCTCATATGTATTTGTTTCGTCCCATATTTATTTTGTTCGTCCTATATTGATTTGTTTCGTCCCATATTTACTTGTTTTGTCCTATTACTGATTTGTTTCGTCCCGTATTTATTTGTTTTGCAATAAAGTCATAAAGGGGACCTCATATGCACGCTCCATTGCATTTGTAATTTATGAAGTCCGGGACACCCACCTCCACGCTGAACCTTCTGGAGAATCACAAATTCCTGATCCTGCAGGAACTTTACACATCTGTGGATGGCCCCCGCTGTGGTTGCCCCATCTTCAGCTGGACCCCTCTCTTGATCTGATGAACCCGGCGTTAGGCCGACTGCTAGTAGAGTACAGCCAGCATAGCAAGACACTTCATCTGGGGTGGAGGCAGCCCCACTTGCAATCACCTTGGGAGCAAAAAAAAAAAAAGGAATCAAAAACTTACGGATGTAATAGGGCCCCTTCATAGGGTCCTATGATTTCTGGCCTGTTAATTGGCCCTGTGTTTTCTTGCCCCTTAATTAGCCCTGTGTTTTCTTGCCCCTTAAAGCCAGAGTCCATCATTTGCAGCTATCCAAAAAGTAACTGGTGTAATTATTGTTGAAAAACATACTTGGTTGAAAGATCGTAAGGGGACTAAAGTTTCTGTGAAATTATTCTTTCTGGCAAGCTGTCATTTTGAAAAAATCAACTAAAGAAGGCGTTTCCAACGGTACGTCTTAAGAAGCACCGTAGGAAATTCAAATTAGTAGTTCCTTTTGTCATTCGGCGAGACGCGCACAAGCGTTGGCACGACGAGCACGCGCGCGTGGTAGCTGCAATTAGCTCAGTGAGAACGTGTCTATGATGCTGGATTCAGGCCCAATTCAAAACATGATTCAGCAACTTTTGATTTGAAATCGAGATCCTAGAACGTTGTTTTTCTCGAAAAACATTACTGGACCAAGCCCAGTCTAATGTGGCTTTCGCGAACCCGTGAATCCCGGGTTCGTATTCATGCCCCCCAATTAAGATAATGGCTATTTAATTAGTTGATGACCATAAAATATGTTCTGGATAAGCACTCAGGCTATCCCCAATGTATATGCGTCTGTTGTTTAGAGCCAGCCTGCCTCCCATCAGAATTTGAGTGATGAGTGATGCGCCAGTTAAGTGCTGGAAAGCTACCAACAGCTAAGAAAGCCACATTAGACTGGGCTTGGTCCAGTAATGAATGTAGCTGAAGCTAAGCTGAAACTTCATCAGGTTAGTTGTTCAGCATCCTTCTTCAGATATTGAGCACTTTTGTTGCTCCAAACAAACAAAATGCACAAATTACAAATGATGGACTATACCTTTAATTGGGCCGTGTGTTTTCTGGACATGAGGGTGCAGTGGTTGGGGTGGATGTGATCCAGCATGCTTTAGTGCTGTATCATCATCAATTCCAACTGCTGCCTACTTATTCCCTCTCCTTTCAGGTAAGAAGCGTTGCTTTATTTTTGGCATAAATTGCAGGGTGAAGTATTCAGATAATATATTGAACTATTTCATTCACTTGGTTTAAAGTTTAGCTCTTTTGAACTTGAGGAAAGTTAGGTTTTTCTGTTTTATTGTCGGAGATTTCACAGCATGGTTTAACTTTTTCAGTGTGTGTAACAATATGGTCAGTCTGGGCCAAAATCGACCATATTCTGGTCTGGAGTGTGGATTTATTTCTTGATTTTTCTGTAAAGCCATATAATATTTTGCTTAGATAACTCTAGTTTCAGAAAGTGTATGATGTATTGAGTACTTTTCTAGTGGTTTTTGTATGATTCTTTTAGCTTGAGTATTTTGAATAGGGAAATTTACTTTTCATTCTGATTTTTCTTTTCTTGAGTTTAAAGCCGCTGATAGGTAAAACACATGGCCCAGCCAGGCCTCAGTCAGTCCCTGGGTGGGGCATGCCAGACTAATTAGCATAGCCTCGGGGTTGACCAGGGGATTCCCCCCCCCCCCCCCCCCCCAAGATCTTGGCCATCGAGTGACGAAAAATGTTGAAACTCGGTACATGCATAGAGCAACTCATCATAAACATACCCAAGAAATTTCATGACTATAGGTCAAAGGGTTGGTTTGCCGATACCATTGGAAAACCTAACTTTTTTTTCACCTACAGCTCCAAATTTACCATTTGTTCAGTCCAAATTTGGTTTGCTATTGGTTACATATTCATGAATAGGTGCAGGCCAGTTAGACTGGTTCCCTTACATTACAATTTTCCGACATCTATAAATTGATCCATTTCATCTTAAGTGGAGTCAGGGAACCAGACTACTTAGACATTTTTGTTTTTCTTGTTTTTTTCCCCAGTATTTTCGACCACAAAACTTCAAACATGTCAGTGTAACAATAGTTGATCTATTATACTAACCCCTCAAATAGTTCATTGCTGAAAATTACAGCAAAAGCCAATGATGTACATTCCCTTTAAAACTGTACCTCAAGGATTGCCCGTTTCATAGAGTTGCTCAAGTCCTGCCCTTGCTTTTTGAGACAGCTCTGGACGGGTGGCAGAGGAGCCTGCAGCAACTTGGCGGCTTTGTCTCGTTCGCTGGGCTTACAGATCAAGATACTTTCACCTGGAAACAAACCCATAATGATATTAATCTCTTAATAACACAAACCCGGTAATCAAAATCAAAGCAATCCAAAACCTGAGAAATAGACGTTTACATGCGTCACACTATCATCAGGTGACAAACGTTACCTCAGATATATTTTTTTCATGGAGTTTTTCGTTGGTGTTAGAGGCACAGAAGCAGCCCAAAGTGAGAAGTGTTTTAAGGTGGAGGTTGCAGATACTGACAAAACCCCACAAAAATCATCTAAATTGAAAATCAAAGAACAAGGTGTGGCACTAAGTAGGATATTTGCTGACGTGAACATTTTTTCTCACATCCCGATCCAATTTAGATTGATACACCACTGCATTTTCAAATAAGGAAATTGGTTGCTTTGAAACTTCAAATGTGCCTGCTTTAACCCTTTAACCAAATGTTGAATCTCCTCAACTTTTTCCGTGACAGCCTTGAAAAAAAAAAATTGTTTGCGACACGAGCTGTTCTGACTTTTTAGCCTCGAGTCTTGCGCATCTTTTGATACTAAAAACATAAAATTCAGACCACGTGCTGCCACGCAGCGAAAACAGAAAAGTGAATTTCCCTATATATGTACACGAAGCAGAATTACCATTCGTGCAAATGAATAATTAATTAGCCATAATTCCGAAACCCTTTGACCTATAGCCATGAAACTTCTTGGGTATGTTCATGATAAGTCGTTCTTTGCATGTACTGAGTTTCATAATTGTTCGTTTTATGCTTTTTCATGTTGGTGGAAGTGCTGTTGAAAACCATGAATTGTTTGACTGTTTTCCTACATCTCTTAAAGGAATCACCCATGTGCTGATGACCTCTACTGCTGTTAGACACAACTACATGTACGTGGGAGGCTTGAGCAAAGCTGTTTACATCTGACCTCAATCTCACTGCTGTCTAAAACAACAAGTGCTCGAACTCTGATACTTCCAGTATCTTCTGCACATCACAGCAGATTTCTGATGACTGCAATATCACTGATTCTCATTTGGTTTCATCCCCCCCCCCAGATTTAAAAGTTTTATTTTTAATTTCGACCCATTTCAAGACACTGATTACAAATATGCTGGTATATCAGTCGTTTGTATTTTTAATTTCTTGCGGTAAATTAAATACCAAATTTTTTTTGCACTAATCATCTGTGGTGAAAAGCTGCTCAAGGTTGTAAGTGCATCACTTGTACCAGCAAAAATGTGAATAGTACAGATAAACAAGGCCATTCCTTAAGTAAATCCTTTGTGATAAAGATTTTATCCTATGATCATAAATATTCCATCGTATTAAAGACGGCAATCGAGTAGGGAAAAATTGTGAAACTCAGTACATGCAAAGAACTACTTAAATCATAAACATACCAAAGAAATTTCATAACTTTCGGTCAAATGTTTTTGGAATTATGGCTAATTAATTATTCATATGCACAAATGGTAATTCTGCTTGGTGTACACAACGTATATGGGAAAATTAAGTTTTCACGGTGCATAGCGGCGCGAAATTTTTCGCTGCGCGGCAATTCATGGTTCAAATTTTATGTTTGTGATATTAAAAGATGCGCAAGACTTGAGGCTATAAAGTCATAACAACTCGGGTAGCAACAGCTATCAAAGTGTAAGAACCAAATGAAAGGTAACTGGGGCACGTTTTGGCACTGTGACCGTAAACATGTTTCTGGTTCGCAGCCGTTTTGGCCCTTCGGTTACACTGAAATGCAACATTGTTTCAACCAAAGTTGAACTGAAGTTTCCGGTCAGTTCACTTATGCTTCAAGATGGCGGAAAGGTAAACAAGCTTAGCAGACGACGTTACTTTTTACCATCAATGGGGTTTAAATAGTGGGTTTTTACCTTCAATTGGTACGAAAGTTGATACAGAATATCAGGCCTACTCTTTTTAGAACTTCAGGGAAACGCTATAAAAAAACTCCCACTTTTGCTTTGAATGTTATTGTTAATCATGTCCGGTCGCGGCGTGATTTTTTTGGGTTGTGTGCAGTCACGTAGGCAGTAACATGACGTCATGAACAATTTTCCGGTCAGTCGTTTTCGCGGTGCACAGGAAACATGTTTCAGGTAACGGCTGTGACGTCAGAAACATGTTCCGGCCAGTTTAAGGGCCGCCAAAACGTTCTCCTGGTTTTGCTGGTATACCTGTACATTAAATATACATATTATGAATCACCTGAACCCTACCAGTTTTATTAACTACTTTTGCATTCATGTGGTAAGTTATCAGGGTAGTCATGCCATTAAGTGTGCCAACAAAAGATGACAACACTTTGCTCACTTTGAAATCTCTCATTCCACATCGGAACAGTCAGCTATGTGTAGCAAGAGAATCAACAACTATCTAAACTGACTGCTGGCTTTTCAAGAAAACAGTGAAATTATGTGAAGAATCTGGAAGTGGAAAAGATGAATGTGGCAAGCCATACATGGATGTACAGGATTTTCTGGAGTCTTGTCTCAGGAATCTAGGAGGATCCTCAACCACAAAAGTCAAGGGGACTGGATAAAGGTCAATTTGGTTTTATGCTTTCTTTGATGGAAGTGCTGTTGAAAACCATGAACTGTTTGACTGTTTTCCTACATCCTTCAAGGAACCACACATGTGCTGATGACCTTTGCTGCTGTTAGCCACAACTACGTGGGAGGCTTGAGCAAAACCGTTTGCGTCTGATCTCAAGCTGCTGTCTAAAACAACAAGTGCTCGAACTCTGATACTTCCAGCATCTTCTGCACATCACAGCAGATTTCTGATGACTGCAATATCGCTTTACAGCACGTTACCCATCAGAACCACATCAAACAATTGAAACTGGGGAAGATTTGCTCAGTTCTGTCTTCATTTCCTTCAGAGAGATATCCGCTTCAGTCTGTGTAATGGAGCCAATGTAACAAAAACACTGCACCACAGGGTCAGTGTTGAAAAGGTACCAGTTACAAACATTACCGTTTTGTGTTGGGGGGATGGGTGGACTGTTCACAGATGAATTTGAATTCCAAACTTTGCAAACACACTGCTGGAAATCTCTATCCTTCGTGGTAAATGATCAGAAGACACTGGAAATGAATTCGTAATTAGCACATGAAGGTAATCATGTCAGCAACTTTGTTAGGAAATGCTTTATTGCAAATTTCCATTTCCTTATTACTTGGTGCTAAACTCTTTCTTGTGTCTTTTTTTAGGGATAAAATTGAAGCAGAACCATCCAACGAAGCTTCTTTTGTCATCAAAGCTCTTCCGACACTCCAAGAACAGCTAAAAGATGCCAGCTGCAGCTGTGGGTCAGATTGTATCACATGTGTTCTTTTTACTGTTGTCAGTTGAACTTGTAGTCATATACCTAGAACGTTTATAGTTATACTTTGTGGTGTTTTTTTTTTCAATTGTGCACTCGTAGTAAGTTTACTTGCAGATTCACGTACCGTTTTTGTTTTGTTTTAATTGTTTCATTTGTAATCAAAATGGGATCTGGGTTAAGCACAGTAGTTGACTGCCCGGAGGAAAGCACTTACAACATCACAGAAGCGGATGTTCCATCACTCATTTTTACACCTGTAGACATTGCCATGGCTGCATATGTCATACCGATAATTCTGTGTCTTGGTGTCATCACCAACTGCACGTTTCTCTTCATGGTGTTCCGCGTTCCAAAAATGAGAACGGATACCAATATATATTTGTCATTTTTGGCACTGGCAGATCTGCTCTACCTTCACTGCACTGCGGTGTTCAAAATCTGGCAGTACTGGGCGACCCCACTTAGAGATCACCAGCCATTTAAGAGTGAGGTCGAATTGGCAGCTCTCTTTATTGTTACTAACGCAGGCTACTATGCATCCACTTTGCTTGTGACTATGGTATCGGTGGAGAGATACCTCGCATTGTGCCATCCCATTAAACATCTGAAAGTCCGTGGTCGGCGACGCACCTATAGATTCACAGCCATATGTTGGCTAGTGGGGATAGTGTTGGCTGGTACTATATTGCCTCGTGTAGTACGCCTCCATGTAAACTGCCTGCTATGGCCAGACAATGAAAAGTACGATGGTTTCCCATCATCCATGGCATACCCTGGACCGGCCAATGATTGGGTATGGTACTTAGTCGTACCCCTCACAAATATCACCTGGCTGATTGTACTGATCGCTAACGTGTATATGGATATTCGAATCATACGCGCGCTGAGCAAACGAAAAACCGACCACAGAGCATCTCGTACTCGCAATCAAGTCGCTAAAATGCTGGTTGTGAACGGCGCTGTGTTTTTTATCTGCCAGTCCACATATCCAATCATTGATCTTATTTACTGGATCTCGGCGGTAGCGAGACTTGAACACAACCTTGATGAAGCTATTTTTCTAGAGTGGGTCTTTATAACTCTGGAGCTGCTTAACACCGTTGTCAATCCACTTATCTATGGTACGATGAATGCACAATACCGCACTGCCTTTGTTCAGGCCTTCAGATGCAAACGCCGAAAGCACAAAGACAGATCTGTCAACTCGCAGTCTTTGGCAACAATTACAGAAACCAGTACAGCATGAAGAACAAGAAATGGCTTGAAGTTGAATTGAGCCCCAAAAGTCAGTTCTATGAAACTGGAGGCTGTAATAGTGGTAGTTATACAATTAGAACTGAATATATAAATGACTATCTAACACAATCATTTTAATTAATCAATCACTGTACAAAATTACAAGATATTCGTCTCCAGAAATGTTATTCTTCTTGTATTAAATAAATGTACCGGTAGAGTAGATCACTTGTCCATGTGTTTCATTTGAAGCAACAAATGTGCTCAAAATCTAAAGACAGGTGCTTAACAACTAACCTGATGGAAGTTTAAGCTCAGTGAATGCTGTATATTCCGAGAATACCATAGTCTAGAGTCTTAATTTCAATTCAAAAGTTGCTTTGTCATATTTTGAATTGCGCCCGAAATCAGCATCCGGAACACATTCTCATTAAACCGATTGCAGACATACATGTACGTAATGTCACGCACTGGAAGGTGAAAAGGTGTCAAATGAGTCATTATTCAAACACAAATACAAAACCCAATTAATTAACAAATATGTGGTAGAATAATCCCATTTTGTAAGACCAAATAACTCTAGTTTTATTTCATATTACTAGCTCTGTACCAATATGTTTTTGTCATTTAACTCCTATCGTTGTACTTGTACTTGTAATTAATTGTAACTGTAATTGTAACTGTAATTGTAATTGTAATTGTAATTGTAATTGTAATTGTAATTGTAATTGTAATTGTAATTGTAATTGTAATTGTAATTGTAATTGTAATTGTAATTGTAATTGTAATTGTAATTGTAATTGTAATTGTAATTGTAATTGTAATTGTAATTGTAATTGTAATTGTTCTTTATTACAGTGGGGGTCTCCACTCGACAAGCTTATGCTTTTTGGAGACCTCCATCCAGCCATACACAATAATTCAAATGTTAAGTAATATTATTATGTACTTGTATGCGTTGGGAAAATTCAAGATTTGATTGATTGATTGATGAATAATAGCAACCGTGCGAGCATGTGTGTCGTGTCAACGCTTGCGCGCACCCAATCATAGATTCGCCCAATTACAAACCAACTACATTGTACTAATGGAAAATTTCCAAAAATGCGTCACTTGACTCATCTTCAGAAATGACCTTCTTTCATTGTTTTCTTCAAAATAACAGCATGCCAGAAAGAATGATTTCACAGGGAGTAATGTAACTATCTTTAAACCAAGTAAGCTTTTCAACAATAATTTGGTCAGTTATTTTTGAATAGCTGCAAATGATCTACTTCACCTTTAAAGAAAGAAAATGACACTGATTCTCATTCAGTCCTCCCTCCCCCCCCCCCCCACGGAAGTTAAAAGAAATTTATAAGTTTGACCCATTTCATGACGCTGAATGCAAATACGCTGGTAAATATACATGTACATTCAGTTGCTTATATTTTTAATTTCCTGTGGTAAATTACTTATGTACATTTTGTAATTTATTGCACTAATCGTGTGGTGAAAAGCTGCTCCAGTGTAACTGCATCATTTGTACCAGCAAAAATTTCAGTAGTACAGATAATCAAGGCCATTCCTTAAAGGTATTGTCCATCATTTGTAATTTGTGCATTTTGTTCGTTTGAAGCAACAAAAGTGCTCAAGATCTAAAAAAGGGTGCTGAACAACTAACTTGATGAAGTTTCAGCTCAGCTTTAGCTGTATATTTCGAGAAAAACAACATTCTAGGATCTCGATTTCAAATCAAAAGTTGCTGAATCATGTTTTGAACTGGGCCTGAACTCAGCATCCGAGAAACCTTCTCACTGAGCCGATTGCAGCTACGCAAAGTCGCGCACTGATCCGACGAATTAAAGCAACCGCGAGTGCGTGTGCGTCATGCCAATGCTTGGGCACGCTTCATCGAATAACAAAATGAACTACTAATTTGAGTTTCCTACGATGCTTCTGAAGAAGCACCGTTGGAAAGGCCTTCTTTTGATGATTTCTTCAAAATGACAGCTTGCCAGAAAGAATAATTTCACAGGGAGTTTAGTCCCCGTACTATCTTTCAACCAAGTATGTTTTTCAATAATAATTACGCCAGTTACTATATGGATAGCTGTAAATGATGGACTCTGGCTTAAGTAAATCCTTTGTAATAAAGATTACATCATATGATAAATAAAGATTCCATTGTATTAAAGATTAAACGTTATAACTGCTTTTCCCCAAGCAAAGATTGTCAGTGTCCTCCTCTCTTCTGTTTGTTTTCCATGTTTTTAATGTCCATCCATCCAGTGATCTGTTCGTCAGTCACTCGTTTCTTCTTGCCACCCCTTCCCTGTTTGTCCATATGCTACTTGTTTTTGTTGTGTGTCTGTCCGTCTATCCCATGATGTTTGATTTTACTGAGCCTATCTGTCAGTTACTTGATTTTTCCATCCGCAAATCTGTCTGTTAGTCTCTCACCTCGTCCTTACCTTCAGACTGTTTGTCTATCTGTTAGTTGTCATCTTCTTTGTGATTTTTGTCATAAACCCCTTCCCCGTTTGTCCATCTTCTGATCATCATGAATCATGTGTTTGTCCATTAGTTGGCTTATTGTTTGTCTGTCTGTCCATATAATGGTCTGTTGGTTTGATCCGTCTTATTCTTCCTCGCCTGATCATTATGCATCATTTCCCTGTTTGTCTATCTGTTAGTTGGCTTACCGTTTGTTGGTCTTTCCATATAATGGTCTGTTGGTTTGATCTTTCTTATTCTTTCTTGCCTGATCATTATGCATCATTTCCTCATTTGTCTATCTGTTAGTTGGCGTATTGTTTGTCTTTCCATATAATGGTCTGTTGGTTTGATCTGTCTTATTCTTCCTCGCCTGATCATTATGTATCATTTCCCTGTTTGTCTATCTGTTAGTTGGCTTACCGTTTGTTGGTCTTTCAATATAATGGTCTGTTGGTTTGATCTGTCTTATTCTTTTTTGCCTGATCATTATGCATCACTTCCCTGTTTGTCTATCTATTAGTTGGCTTACTGTCTGTCTGTCTATCCAAAGACATTTGTCGTTTGTCTTTTCCTCCATACCTTTAGTATCCAACTGTTTTCTTTTTTCCCCTATCTGTCTATAACTTTTTTATGTGCATGCTTGTCAGTCTATGAAATGATCTGTTTGTCAGTCTGTCTTTTCCTGCCTCACCTTCAGTATCCACCCCTTTCCGGCCAGCCCTGCCAGCCATCTGCCTGTAGACCAGGGGGTCCAGCACCCTCCTGTTGAACATGAGGCTGCGGATGATGACCCTCCGGGCGGGTAGGTTCACTCCCGAGGACAGGGTGGAAGTGGCCACCAGGATCTTGATGCTGCTCTGACGGAAGGCCCCCTCGACGATGTCCCGTTCGTCAAAACTCAAACCTGTACACATGAAACAGGTCAAATAGACTTGATAAATGTATTTGTGATTCATAATCCAAATCAAGGCTTGAGTTATGTTGTTTACAAGTTTTCTTTAAAAGCTTCAAAGCAAAACGTTGTCAAATATGCATTGCTTGCATACTCAATCTAATTCAACCAAGAAAGGCAAAAAGATACTCTGATTATATAAAAGTTAAATTGGCCAGATATTTCAGATCTCAAAATTGTCTTTGCGTTTGTGGAAATGTAGTGGGGATCATGAAACAAGATTGAATTTTTGAAGACTCCAGTGATAAATGTTGTGCTTCTTTTTCACGGCTATTTGCATATCTGTGTTTGTATTCTATACAGGGGCACTATCGAAGCCGATGCGCCCAAAACCGTAACGCACGATCAGTGAATGAGCGTTTCATTTTGCTCTGCGCAAACAGCGCAAACGTGTACGCCTTTCCGTTGCAGATGATTTTTGCCTTGACGTCTTTTTTAACCATCATGACACGCTTAAGTTGTTTGCGTGCATTGTACTTGCGCGTTGCATTTAGAATACACTTTCAAAATTCACTCCAACTTATTTCATTATGTTCTTCAACACGCACGTGAATTCAAAATGTCTGCGCCCAGGACGGCTTCAATGTATCTCTGCCCATAAGAATGAGGACTTAGCGCTCTAGTAAGTAATTGAACCCTAACCACCCCAACTCCATCAAAATCCATCCCCCCATTTTGGAGGATTTTGGGGGACTTGGTCCAGAAGGCCTGGCATGACTAAATATTGATGGAGTATGATGAACTTGGGCATAATGGCCTGAAGCAGTGCTAGGGGTATTCGATTGATTTTGCCTAGCTTCCTGTACTGCTATTGTGATAAAAGCCATGTTTAGCAAGTCCATGAATGTCAACCAGTGCCTCAGTGGTGGATTCCATTATGTCATGTACATTTTTGTATATGGACGCACGGTGATTGATGGATTTTGATGGAATTGGTTGAGTTCCTAGTCAAAGACACTAGGGAGTTAGGATTAATAAAGCTCTATCTGTCTATGGCACAGGATGACTTGTGATGGACTGACAAGGACTCTTCTACAAGTCTTCATTTCAGGCCTGTCCTCATTTTGACACCACAGTTTCCTTGCACGGAGTAGAGTGGAAATGGACATACCAGCATGATGATAGGCTACACCGCATGGCACCGTTCTCCTGAGGACAGGGTCCAGACAGACTGGGATCCTCCTCAGTTGCTCCAAGACATCTTGAAGGGACTGCTTGTTGAGATTAATAGACACACCCTCATCTGTTCCGATAACACATGATAATAATGCCGCAATTAGTGACTGACCATCAGAAACATGTACAAGTGTAAGGTCACAATACAGGCAACCAAAAGTGGGACATGAGAGATCTGAAGCAAGATGAACTCTTGGTGGCGCACTATATTGTGAATCGCCCGAATTGGTCATGGCCAACTGGGTCGCCTAAACCCAAAAATGACACATTCAAGAGAAAAAGGACTCCTAATAGAACAAAACAAGGTATATACCTCTGGTATGACCAGGGATCATCCCAGTCAGTCTCGCAATCTCCCGGGCCATGTTCTCGGCCAGTTTCTCGCACCAATTCTTCGTCGGGCAGAAGATGAGAACAGAGCAGCCCATGGCCAACGTCTCCAGGCACAGCGACAGGATCTGGTCCTCATCCCCGGGGATGGAGGCACGGTGGGGGTCTACCTCCCTTAGCCTGGCCAGGGAGGCGTCGTAGATGGTCCTGCCCACCTTGACGGTCTGGGTTAGTGGGACAGGGCGGAAGTCGGTGTGGTACAGCTCGGCATCCAGCCACTTGGCCAGGTGGTCAAGGTTAGGGAGGGTGGCGCTCATGCCCACAATCTGGATGGAGTTGTTGGCTGCGGGAGTCGTTACACTGTAACAAGGCGAATATTTAGTTGACAAATTAACTCAGAAGAGAACTGCTTGTCTTATTTTCTCGCGCTGTAGGATATGTGAGCAGTTACACTGCGCCATTTACGCTTCCAGAACAGAGTCCTATGTTTATTGATTGGGGAGGTGTTATCTGAATTCACTTGTTAGGTGCAGGAGCTTTTACAATGTAACAAAGGTGGAAGCCTCCAGTTGATTTCATATCTCAACAGATAACTCTGTTTCGGATTGATGTCGACTTCTCCTGGACTGGATTATTTGCTTTCTGTGCGGAACACTCCAAGAAAGAACAAAACTACTTCAAATGGTAGGGAAAATTCCTTTGTAAGATTCTGGTCACTAGAATTCTCAGACACAAGTCTTGAGAGGGGTAAATTTCACGTTTCAATTGCAAACTGTGCGTGAACCAACTGGCAGATGATGAGATCTGTTGAATTGAATCCTCAAAGGGTCCATTTTTAAGAACACAATCTGTGCATTTTTTTAACTAACTCTTAGATGTAGGAAAACTATTTGAATTTCCTTTTTGGTAAATTTTATTGAAAAGTGCACTTCTGTAAACATTTAAAATTTCCCATGCTTTATGGAGAACTGAGGACGCTATTGCTGTGATGTCATTTCAGGAAGTCACTGTTCAGTTTAGGGCTTTCTGTTTAAAATGTGAACCCAAAATTTGCTCATTGAAAATGTTTTGTAAGAAAGCTTTGCTCATTGGCTTACTGCCATATGTACACAACAAAGAATCACCAAAGAAAAGAACTTTTACTACCACAAAATACCACAAACTCAAGCAACTTTTTGTACTGAAATAGATGCAACATTGAGGTTTCCGCTGCCCAGAATGACATCACAGCTTTGCTCATGAATATGGAAATTTGCATTAGCCTAAAAACAGAAAAATTACCATAATACCCATGAAAGTGGCAAAACAAAAAATGAAAATAAGGTTTAATGGGGCACAAAGGTGCATTTTCAAGGATAACAGTAAAAAAAAATACATTGCAAGGGCCCTTTAAACATCAAACCCCTTAACAACAAAATAGGATCTAAAAAATAGGATCTGAAGAAGAGTCACCTCATTTGCCACAAAACCAATACGAGAACAGTCAACATTACTGATGAAATGACAACTTACTTGTTCTCCTTGCCTGTCGGCACAGTGTGTGCCACATCTTGCATCTTCCTGGTGATGTAGCGGACCTTGGTGAGAAGCAACTCCAGCAGATAACCTCGGTGGGCGTCTCCTACCATGTGAAGCTCATCAACAACAATGATGCCTGAATGAACAGACAACAAATACAAATGTGGTGGATTTTTGAGGATCTTGGAAGATAGGGGTTACAGCAAAATTCTTATCCCAAACAATAAGAGATGCTTCAAAATGGAAGCAGAATGGGGCAGCCTCCTTACCTAATTGGTCCACTTTGTTCTCTTCTAGAAGTCTGTTGACCAGACTGTTCGCTTTCTCAATGGTGCAGACAGCGACATCGATTGCCTTGAATCCTCCAGTGGGCGACTCGCTACCCATGTAGCCGCCGACACAAACCCCTGCATCCTGAAATATGCCCTGTAAGAACCAAATAAAATAAAAGACCTTGCATTGCAGGTACATGGTTCTCAAAGGGTGTTCTTTTTAATTTAAATCAAACATTTTATGCACAAATGGTTTTTATACTCGTGTCCGTCTCAGAGATACAAAACCATTGCCCTCTGACTCCGCCTTAACGCACACCGTCCATAAAGTGAAAATCAAGGCGTTTCTCCATGCAAGTATGTAATCAATGAACAACATTCAGCGTCTTCCAGTTATCATGTGTCTTATATCATATTTTTGGCTGTTGACTCCATGTTCCAGTACCACCTCTTGAACAGTGAAAGAGTGCTGATACAGAAGGACATCTTACATTTATCGTAATATTTTGACTGCTCACCACTCACCTGTAAGTAGAACATCTTCTCCCTGGCCACCGAGACAAACGGTAGGATCAGCAATGCTTTCTTCTTGGTCTCCAACACCCTCTTCAGGATCAGCAGCTCAGCCACCAGGGTCTTGCCGGCGCTGGTGGGGGCCGAGTAGACCAGGTTCCCCCCGTCCAAGATGCTGCCGAGAGCCAGGCACTGGGCTTGCCAGGGAAACATCTGGGTGATGTGACGGCGGTGGTACTGGGCCAGGACCTGATCAGGCAACCCCCAGGAGGAGAGAAGCAAGGGGTCTGCTGGGGGTTGAGTTCGAGGGTTCATGCCTGACGGTGGGGAAGGAGGGCCACTGCAAGTGGACTCGGCATCCTGCTGTGACGTCCCCTGTACTACCGCTGACTTAGTACATTTTAAACTTTTAACTTCTCGTGAAACTGAATTCAGAGTGATTTCCGGACATCGAGACGGTTCCTTGGCATCTGAAGTCCCATTTTGTTTTCCAGATACACCTTTACCACTCCGAGCCACAGATTTCTCATGTTGTTCATTGTTATTTGGTGACTGGGATTGCGACTGAGAATCAAAGCAGTAAACCTGGCCAGCAGGGGAATTTTCCTTCTCTGTATTCACAAAATAATTCATAGCATTTTTGCTCGGCCCTTTTGGCAAAAGTGGAGTACCCTGCTCCAAGTTATCCACGTTGGAGTTTGTATTCAATTCATTCAATATTGCACTAGGAGTTGCACATTTGTCATTTGATTTCGAGGGGAGTTTTCCCCTTAAATTCATTTTCAATTCATTTGTTTGTTTCTTCTCGTCTGTCGGGATATTACTTATTGAAGAATTATGTAATCGAACATTTGTCAACAGTTCATGTTTTTGCTGTAATTCATTCAATGGGACCTTCCCACCTGTTGAGCTTGATCTCGACCTTTCTCCAATATCAGACGGTTTTATTTCAGTAAACAAATCTTCAGAATTTTGAAACTCCGGATTCAGGGCACCAGTGACTGAGTTGGTTTCCATTCCACTTGGCTTGCTGGGAATCAGTTGACACACTTCTGCACCAGTTTCCGGCAAAACGTCAAGCAGGGTACCAGCATTTGCTCTGGTTTCTACTTGGTCATTTCTAGTGCCGTTAGTCTGAGCCCTGGTACTGCCTCGGTGCGGGGTGCCAGTGATGACACTGGTCCCCGCCTGTTGGTGTTGATGGCAGTAGATGGCCTCAGCCTCCTCCATTGCTTGCAGCACATCATCATCCAGGTCGCCAGTGAAGAATGAGTTGAAGGAACCAGCTTCCTGATGTTCCCCGTCTCGGCTTGTACATGTACGTAGCTGGTTGGAGTCAGATGATTTCACACTGCCGTAAATCTGCGATAGAGGTTGATAAATCAGTTGAAGTAATGCGAAGCGGGTAAGACGGGTGGCGAAGTCACCTCCCCCCCCCCCCCCCCCCCCCCCACATAGCAGGCGAGGCAAAGCATAGTGTACTTTGATAAAACAATGACATTTATCGAGCATGAAAGTTTGTTTCCTGTCCCATTATTATATCAATCAAACAAAAGATACCTTTTTTGAGACTTTGATTACAGAACTCGTATCAGGAGCTTGCGACACCATCACGGTGTCTTTGTCAACTGGTGTAAAGCTATGGCCATTCTCCCATACATCCGAGGTTTGTCTGAACAGCTGGAGTGTGTGTTTCGTGAACACGGTGTCACGGTAGCACACAAACCGTTCAACACTCTTCGCTATCGAAAGATAAGACCCCAGACCTCAAGAAATGTGGCCTCGTATACCAGATGTCGTGTGATGGTTGTGAAGACACATACATCGGGGAAACAGCTCACACTCTGCAGACCCGATACAGAGAACACACCAGTAGGTCAGCCCCCCTGACAGCAGTTGCTGAACATATATCCACCCCAGCAGGACATAGCATCTCCGTGGACAATGTCAAGATCATCGCCAGGGAGGACGACCTCTGGAAACGCAAAATCCGCGAGGCCGTGGAAATCCGCAGACACCACCCCCATATGAACAGAGATGGAGTGTACGAGCTGGCCCACGTGTACGACCGCCTCCTGTCGTGTGACCAAGCTTGGTCACGTGACGGGTCACGTGAGGGCCTCAACAACACCAGTTGACAAAGACACTGTGATGGTGTCGCAAGCTCCTGATAAACAAGTTCTGTAATCAAAGTCTCAAAAAGGTATCTTTTATTTAATTAATGACATTTATATTGCTTGAACTTTGCCACAACACAGGGCCACTTATCAGTTTATTTCATTAGCATGCCCTACGCTAATTACATGTAAACTGTGTATCATGCATAAGTAGCATTAAATAGAAAACAATTGGCATATGTTAGTTATAAATTTTTCAAACTGTTTTGGATTGTTGTAGCTGATCTCACCTTCTCTTTTCTCTTCTGCTCTTTCAGCCTCGGTGATCTCCGAAAAGTCGCCTGCGTCTCCCCATCAAAACAACCGTTAGCCTTGCCCCGCTGGGTCTCCTCCTGATTGGTCGATTGCTTATTGGAATGTCCAATGATCAGTGAGCTGGATGCACTGATGGGAACAGCGTGCTGGCCCAGTCTCTTGGTCTTCGTTTCGTGAAGTCCTGACGACGGAAGTGCCTTGGAGCTGGCTGGCATGGCTGATTTTGATATTTGTGCTTCTTGTCGAGTTCTCACTTGCTTCTGTTGCTTCCATGTCGACGAGAGTTTCTTCATGGTGTAGACGACCTAAACCCTGCCCTTGCATCAATGCTCATTTATCCACAACTGTTCAATGTCAAGTTAATTTAATTATTGATTTTGAAATTTATTAGAGTTCATCTTTACAGAAAGGCCAATCAAATAAAGTATTCCATTTTAAAGTTGATAGCCGGATTTGATGCTTTTAAATTTTAAGCCTACACAGATCTATGTAATTCATGTTATATGTAATCATGTTACATATGTGGGCCTATTCTTGATTTAACAGGATGAGAAATTCATTTTGATTCTTTTATACAAAGCTGATCTGTGAGTGAGTTTCAGCTAACTGAAAACTTTATGTACTTTAAACATGGCATTTTGTGACTGGACATGCTGGACGTGTGACAGAGTCAGAGATGTTTCTCAACTTGAAGGTGCAGGGAAGCTGAGCGGCTGACCTGCTTGGCAAGCGTCTGTGATCATTGTGTCCGAATTTTGCTCCACCTCTGGAAATGTCAGGACAACTGCAGTGGTATGCTCTTCCAACTATATGTACATGCATAGGATAAAAACAATAATCAGTGTCAGATCGGCCATAGATGGGAATGGAATGATTGTGAACCAGCACCAGCACTAGGGCCTATGATGATGACTGTTTGATACTGCTACACCAACAAGGATGACCTTTTAGTTGACATAATTTATACCTTATGTTTAAATAATAACCTACATGTATTTACGATAATATTCAAATGAGATATATTCATGATATTTGTGCTATCCTCACCTGCTCACCATAAAATTAAAAGCGAGAACACCGACGAAATCAAATCGTCCGCCATGTCGATAGCACAGCCACAGGGAAACATCTTATCAAGAGAGGGCGCCCTCCGAAGGTTCACTTGAGCCCACATCCGGAAACAAGAGCTTATCCCTCAAATCGCGGACAACTCTAGTCCACGTTGACTTCGTGAACCATGCGTGAACTAAAAACTCTGCCAAATAATTGCCCCCCCCCCCAAAAAAAAACCCCGTGGACAACCATGACTAACAATAAACTTCCATTTCGTGAACTCCGCCAGCTATAATCTTTCAATTTTCATTGACATTTCACTTCATTAATTTCAACTTTGGAAATAAAAAAAAAACGGCCGTGCGGTGCGTACAGGGATATTTGGGAAAGTGAGGCCTAGTGGCTAGGGTTCGTAGGGTCAGGGGTTCGAATCCAGCTGCTGGTGTCCTTGGGCAAGCCACTTCACCTCAATTGCCTCTCTCCACCCAGGAGTGGGTACCGGCATTAGCTACGATGGACTAGCCCGTCCAGGGGGAATAGAAAGTGTGGGTGAGGTGTTAGTAAAAACTTTCACACGTTTGAGTTGCTGGAATGGACCAATGAAATGCCGCGGTTGCCTGACGAATAATTATGAGGTATAGTTATAAAAAATACAGAAGTGGCCGAAACAAACCTAGTGCTTTGAACGTGAAACACAATCCGAATCTTTCATGGAACAAAAGAAACACACTTCCTCTTACGAAGGAAGAAATGTCTGTTTTATTAAATTGGGAGTTGGCTTTTTGCAGGGGCATTTTCCTCACACTTTTATTAACTAAACGTTTCTGTCGAAAAAGGGCCGCTGTAAAGCACGGAGAGAAAGTCGGTCTACTTCAATTGTATTTCTCAGAGAGGGCGAGCCACGTTAATAGTGGGTACCACCACTGACAAAGCATCAGATCGAAACTAACATTACTTAGAAAAGCAGATTGATCACTCATTTCTTTTCTTTTTTAGGTCATATACAGTACATTCAATTGAATAATTCCATATAATTCGTTCTATTGTACGAAACAAAAACTCCCGTCCAACTGAAACCCTTATACTCAAACAGTCTATATTGAATATTACATGTCGAATGTATAAAAGGGAAAATTAAGTGAACGAGTCAAGGTCTTTTTCGTATTCGAAATAACCATCCAATCTGACTGTGCTTCGTTTATATAAAAAAGTGAACTTTGTCCACTCACAAAAACAAATTAATTTGCCTTCGTTCATGTGGCTCATACTTTTGTCCCACAGACTAGAGCCATTGTTTCGTTAACCAAAGTCGTCCATGATCGTCGCAGGATTTTTTTCTCAATATATCATTAAATTTTCTTTCGAGGGTGGCCGGAGGACAATGGCCCATCCCACCCCATTGACACCCCTGTGGGTGCCCATGTTGTTTTATGTGCATTAAATTAACAGCAAAATGACTTCACATCTCATTTTCTTTTTTTCCTTTTTCTTTCTCTCTCTCCCTTTTTTGGGTTGCCTTTCCGGGGGGGGGGGGGGGGGCTTGCCCCATCCTGGCGAGGCACATGTCATCACATCAACAATTGGGACGATGTTTTAATTTGTCCTTATGGTGAGCGCGCCCAAAATGCTGGATTTAGGCCTACTAAAAAAAAAAAAAGAAGCAATCAATACAATTCAAAACATTTTATCCCAACAACTCACGAGATCATTAAAAAGATGTTTATGGTTAAACATAAAAACTGTCATTTACGAATGCATCACTTTAGGCAAAATTCAATATTTGTAGATGCGAATCTGAATACAATGTTATACTGAATTTGAAGGACTGATCACTAGGAATAAAATATTTTCACAAACTACGGTGACAACAATGTGCACATTCAACACACTTGTTCAAGACATATACAGGAAAGACTACAAGGTATTACATTAACATCATAATTTGTATTTCATTGCAAGCAATATTATCACGGCAAAGCAAAAGTGAAACATGAAATGCCACACAAAACCAGTTCTTGGTCGCTCCTCACCAAGGCACTCAGGACCGCTGCATTGTCTTCATTTCTAAATTTTTTTGAAGTAAACGTCTGTTCGCTCAGAAATGGACGAGAGGTTGTTAGCGCCCTATCATAAAGCGACTGGGATGAGTGAACTGTTCTGCCTTTTTCTGGAAGACTAATTAAAAAGTTAATTCATGAACTTCACTGAAATGGCGCCCACAACAGCGACAAGAAGAACGTATATGATGTCACTTCCGGGACGCGCTGCTCTGCTGCAGTCAGTTGGGCAATCTGAAAAAGACAAAAACAATACAAGTCATACCTGTAGGACCGATACTTTTTGGTAAAACTTACTTGATGTCCATGGTATACTGCAGTTTGGTATGAATTTGTTTAAGCCTACATAAAAAGACTAAGTGACATGCTCCAGGAACAGGTTCAACGATTGCCCTCGGAATTAATTTGTTTGTGTTATGGTATGCTGCCCTGAGAAAAATTCGCACGATTCAGAAATATACATTCTGATGACATTAACACAGGCTGCTTCTTTGAACATCAATTTAAAAAAAAAAGTATGTCACTGTTTTCACTTCATTGCCTTCTTGAACAAAACTTCATGCGCTGTGAAATCTAATAATTTGTGTGAAGGACGGAGATAAATGCATGACGGCCATTTTTCTGTCAGTTTCGTGGTTCGGAACTCTTAATTTGAACCTTAGTTGGCCCATAGGGGATACATGTATTAGAGAATAAAGTTATATCAACCTCGTTATAAAGTTTATATCAATCTCGTTATCGAACCGGTGTTTTCCCTCAACCATTTCCCCAGATTTCTCTGCTAATTGATCCCTTCCCCGATGAAATTGAAAATGCAAACGGTCCGGGGAAATCAATTCTGTTTCAGAAACTAACCACGACTCGAGTAGTCGTTCCCGTAGTCGTTCTTGGCGCAATCTGCGAAGGGCTGGAATGTCACGTTCTTTAGTTCAGCAGAGAAGCCGCCCTGAAACGGGATGGAAAGCGGCTCATCCTGAGAGTAGAAACATCCCAGCGGCACGGCACCCGATAAGAAATTCTTATCGGACAATGATCCCGTCACGTTTTCGAGTCCGGAGCCTAGAGCAGTGGAATGAAAGGGAATTCACTGAGTGAGTGGAATAACCGGACCAATTGGAGGGTGGATTGGGAGTTGGAATCTGGATGGGAAAATGAGAATGCAAATGGCATGGGAGGGGGGAATTTTGGATGGGAATGGGAATGAGAATTTGAATTTGGGATGGGCATGCAAGAGTAGGAATAGGAATGGGGATAAGAATCGGAATGAGAATGTATAATGCATGGGGATGAAAATGGGAATGGGAATCAGAACGGGAAAGCGAAGGTATGGGAATAGGAACGGGAACAGGAATGGGAATGTGGATACGAATTCGAATGCGGGGACTGCAATTTAAATAGATACGAGAATGGAAATGAATGTGAGGAGCATAATGTGGGAATAAAAAAGGGAATCAACTTAAACGGAGACATGAATGAGGAGTACATGAGAAAAAGCGAGAGTGGCTTGTGACAACTGGATAGAAAATGACGATGGAACTAGAAATGAGAATGGAAATAACGTTAATAGAAAGATTATTAGAATAATAAAGGAAATGGAAAAGAGCGATTTGGACATTATTGTCAGCTTTATCCTTGAGTAAGATAAAAATTTGACACACTTGATAAACTCTGATTACAGGGTGGACCTACCATCCCCGGAATACTACCTGGTTTCAGCCACTTCGCGGTGATGTTTGTGAAGACGAAGCTTTGGGACTGTTTTCGAAAAGTCAGTTGAAGACTTGAATTGCCGACACCAATTGTAATGGTTCGTTCGTCCTCCATGCAGTTTGGCTTAGGATCGATCACTACGGCACTTCCAAAGTCAGTATTGTATTCGGGCTGTGGATTAAAAAAAATGAATCGAATCGGTTATTTCGCTAGCAATATATATAATGCATTACTGCAAAAGGCCTTGGTGTACATCCAAATTCGTTAAAGGGTTCATGATGTGGATTTTTCTTAGGAACACATTTTGTGCAACTTTCTACCCCTGTTCAATGTATGAAAAATATTTGACATCACCTTTTGGTTATTGTATCAATTGAAATTGCACTTGTTTAAAGTTCTTTAAACACCCCCTACCCCCCAAAAAAAAATTGAAAGTACCCCTCATGGTCATAAAGGGTGAGGTTAGTTTTAAAAATAGAGTTATAGTTACATTGTCACGAACGTTGATCATTCCATCGAACTTGATTTTCATGCAGACTTTATCCATCTCATCTTTGGCAATCCACTCGCTGACTATCCCGGCGACCACTTGAAATCCTGTCAGAGTAAAACAAAAAAAACATTATTATAACTCATCGAATTATTGACAACTATCATATGGTTTGGTCGCAAGAGGTTACACGGGAAAAAAACATAAGCCACTACATAATTATTATAGCTTAGGAAATCGTTAAAGAGGCAAACAATTTTTCTATCAAAAATAGGTTTGTTACACATTTACTGCATTGTAACAGAGACGAAAGATCATTTTTAAAACCTTGGTTTTCCTTATATTAGAAACTGATGAAAACAGTAGAATCTGTATGCTGTGACACCACCATAAATTAGAGTGATTAAAATGTAGTGAGCTCAGATACACTTGCCAATGCCAACTATGGTGTCTTTGTTATTTTTTGTATTTAAATTAAATGTGTCAGTTTTGTGCCTGTCACTTCGATGATCGTCCCGTTTTGACAAATAAATAATATTGGCAACAACCATTGGTACTCACCGAGAAAGACTGCAAGCGAAAGAAGTAGAGTCCGAGCCATAGTGATGTGTTTTTGTTGTCTCTTGCGGGTTTCTCACAAGTAAACTGAAAATTTGGCCAGCGCAGGTTTTTATATTTCCTGCTTCCTGTGAACATACAGTTCACACACAAAACCTCAGTGCCAACCAGTCCCCAAAATTGCTCGTCCGTAAATAAACCTGTTCCTAAGAGTTTGGTTATTTGTTATTCAAAGTTACCCGATTTATTAACTGAAGGTGATGAATTGCATTGCGACTCGGAACATAACACTGAACATAAAACGGAACTTTCAAGCACTTTTTTCCCCTCGATTGCTTCCTTAAACATACATGTATAGGCCTAATAGTTGATGCCAAGCACAGGGTAAAACCATTGCACATTCGACTCACACAATACCTTTTGAGGCTGTCCCTGGATGCACTTGCGAAAACACCCACACAGACATTTGTTTTCGCTGTTGTCAGTTGAACTTTCTAGGCCTAGTATACACTGAATATAAACCAAATTGAATGCACCATTCATGTCAGTTTTTCATGTCGAATAGTATGGGGAAGGAATAATACCAAAATAGTCAAGCGTCGCTATGAAATGCTATTAAACACCAATTTTCAAACAAACTGAATCATTTTCTTGTATGTGTGCATATTTAGGGGAAAAAGGGTATAGTAATTCCCGAATAGTCAAATTATTTTCTCCCTTTTCAGAGGTGCATGGATATACTCCGACAAAGAAAATATAAATCAGTCAAATTAATTATATTTGGTTTTAGATTTGATAATCATCGGACAGTCAAAGCATTTTATAATGTTGCACATGATGTTTATCATATGATTTTAGCGGCAGATTCCTGATAGAATTGCTTACCGCTTGGACTCTGCTCTGGTGTGGCAAGTCAAGCAAGGAAGTCTCAATTCAAGTGTTTTTTAAGCAATGGTTTCGATCAAATATAGGCTGGAAGAAGTGGGGTTGGAATTAATTTACTTTTAAAACAAAACGCCATTTCAGTTATAACTGAATCAGCATTTCCCCACAAACTGGTGAAGCAGAGAATACACTCGGCGTGTCCTAATAAAGGTGTCGATTGTAACAATTTACGAGCTCAAGCAAAGACACATTTCTTGTGATCATCAAAGTTGAGTGTAGGCCCATGTTAATTAAAATCAACAAAACAACTTAACATACATGACGAACAATTTTGCGTGGTGATTTTGTTTTGGGGGGGGGGATGTTGAAGTGCCGCTTGCCAATTAATACTAGGAGTATTAAATTGTATTTCACAAAGAAATCCCACACTGCATGTAAAGTGAGTTTAAAACAGTTTAGACATACTTAAAGATATAGTCCATCATATGTAATTTGTGCATTTTGTTCGTTTGAAGCAACAAAAGTCTAATGAAGGATACTGAACAACTAACCTGATGAAGTTTCAGCTCAGCTTCAGCTGTATATTCCGAGAAAAACAGCATTCTGGAATCTCAATTTCAAATCAAAAGTTGCTGAATCATGTTTTGAATTGTTCTGAATTGCAGCTTTACGCGATGTCGCGCACTGATCCGACGAATTATAGCAACCGCGCGCGCCTGTGCGTCGTACCAATGCTTGCGCGCGCTGCGCCGAATAACAAAACGAACTACTAATTTAAATTTTCCTACGGTGCGTCTTAAGACACACCGTTGGAAAGGCCTTCTTTCATTGATTACTTCAAAATGATAGCTTGCCAGAAAGATTAATTTCACAGGGAGTTTAGTCCACTTACTATCTTTCAACCAAGTATTTTTTTCAACAATAATACGCCAGTTACTTTTTTCGGATGGCTGCAAATGATGGACTATAGCTTTAAATAAACCGGACTGGTTCAAAGGAACTGCCTCTCACACTGTAATAAATACGGAGGGGCAAATTGTTCAAAGATGAGATTCCACATGCAAAGAGACAAGGCGAGCAACTGCGAAAGCGGAAGTTATAATAAGTGTAGCAAAACTGGTTTAAAGCGGTTCTGGCCCCCACCAATTAGGGAATTCCCACTGCATACATCATGTCAACTTTGACCGATATCTGCCTTTCACCATATTAACAAAGACAAACTGCAAGTGCCCCCTCAATTCAATGGAAGGAGAGAGTTGAAAGGGACCGTATGCCTACCGTACCGTGTCAGGGGCGAGTTTTGTCAATTTTTTACCCCTGATTTCAGGATAATTTTCAGAGTTTTGCTGATTTTAGGCTTTTTAAAGAATTCCCTTTAAATTTGAATTCATGAAATTTTTATTTCAAAAGGTGTTTTTGCAAACAAGAGTTTATACAAAAGAAATGGGAATCTTAAGGGGTACCTCTAGGCAAATACAAACATATTCATAGACTGCCCTTGGTCCATAAGCGATTCCACCATCAAACCCTCTGCCAATTATTTCCTTGGTTTTTCATTTTCCCTCAATCTCATCTTCAGGTTCTTGCCGCGACGACTCATCGCGGCTCCACTGTCTAGATCTCAACAGTGAGATACTGTTTTTCTCTTTCGATTTGTCGTGTTCTTTCTTTGCTTCGGTAAGCTCCACAGAGGTTGTCAGATAACAAAGACAAGAAATCTCATCAATATCCTTTATTCTTTGTCACTCATTGAAGAATCATTAAATTACCTTTTAAAATTGCATTTTCAAGGTACTTATAATTCAGGACTGATTTCCAAATACACAAAATATGTGTACAGGCAATTTTGATACAGTCGAGTCTCGTTATAACACACTCGTTCGGACCTAGCCAAATTGTTTGTTATATCAGAATTTTGTATTAAGAGGACCATCAGTCCCATTCATTGTGCACATAAATGCACAGTCGGGACTGAGGCTTTATGTTTGTTTATAACCAGTATTTTGTATTAACAGAGTTTGTACTAACGAGATTCGACTGCACATAAGATATGTGCACGCCTGCATGGGCAATTTAAATATATTATTTAAATCCAACAAAATGTTCAATGTATACAATTATGCAGTATGTGCTGATTTGAAAAATAATCAAAAAGTTTAAAAAAATTGCATGTTCTTACTTATCTACGGTGCACGTGCTGTAAAGTTACATGGATACTAAGGGAATAAATGTGTGCTTGGGAGGTTTTAAACACTTTGTTTAAGACCGGTTGGAGTCTGGATGCTGATAATTATCTGCATCTAGACTACCCAACCAAGCAAATATTTATTCCAATTCATAAATACCTTTTCGGTAACAAAATCAAACTTTTCGGTCCACAAAAGTCAAAACAAGTCAAAAATTAAAAATTTCCAACGATTTTTTTCAACAATTTCACCTCATGGTTTTTTGCAAAACACCCCTCTAGCTATATAACTGGAGTGTAAAGCTCACGCGTAAGTCGTAAACAACTCCTTTTATGGAGATTGGCGCGCGCGTGTGTCGTGCCAAAGCTTGAGCGCGCTTTGCGGAATAAAAAAACGAACTACTAACGGAAATTTCCAACGATGCGTCTTAAGACGCACTGGTCTCAAGGTGATAACGCTTTCCTGGTCGTAAACTTCTCTATCAATTGTCTAGTAAGAGTCAAGTAGTAGTCTGGATCGTTGGGGAGATAATCAAAGTACCTGTGGCTCCTGCTGGGTTTGGGAATGGCGCTCTCGATCTGCGTTCCCTCATGCCACTCGTTGAAAGATGTTATAGAGATAACAGGTGGAGTCTGATTCATGGCAGCTGCAAAGGAATCTTTGTAGTACTCGCCGTCTCTGCGCAGGTGGGTGTTGAGCCCATTCCAGGGTCTGACCTTGATGTCGTCGTAGCCCGGCCCGACACTAGGGATGAAAATCATCGAGTTCTGCTTGGCAAACTTCGCCAGGAATCTCCAGTTCATCCAGCGGGAGGCGAAAGAGAACTTGTTTGCCGCGAAGTAGGTGTAGAAGCCGTCGAAACCGCCGACGAGTAAGTCATTATTGTGTTTCTGCTCGACGTACAGGCCGATGACGACAGCGTCGTATTTAGTTCCGCGGATGCTGTGGGGGGCATTCTTCTTGAGGATGCGAGCCCAGGCCCTGGAGGTGGTCAGATACGAGTCGTAGAGGTAAACGAGAGGCAGTTCTCTGCCCTTGTGGTGGTATCTGTACAAGGCGGGGTGGTTGCCGTAAGTATCAACGATGTACTTCAGATCGTTGACGAAAGTCATCTCAGACCGGTTTTTGTAAGGCTCACTGTGAAAGGCCAGCTGCATTGAGTCAAGTAAGAAACGAGTAAAGGTTCATCAATTATTGAGTTCATAATCAGGCTAGCAGATCTACATGTACTGATATGGATGTTACTTGTTAGCAAATGGAGGATACTGGATGATCATTCCCTGAGCTCCTGTGTCCAATATAAACAGATGAACCCCCAATTTGCCCCAGACTGATCATCTTGTACACCTATTAACCCTAACTCCCCAGCCTAATTTACTAGGAACCATACCCATTCTGGCAAATTCCAACACCCACATGGGAAATTGTACACACACACTGTTGGACTTAGTTTCTGGAGGTATGCCAACCCCAGTGTAAAAGACCATCAGTTTAGGGGTACTCTAACTATCCCAACAGATTTAAACAAAACCTGCTGTTGAACTTTGATGGGTTGAGTTCGGTTAGGGTTAAAGTATCATCCCATTACCTAAAAATGTTGCTAGTAAGATTCCCCCTAAAATTTCATAATCATTCGGGGTTAATATAACCTTACAAAATTCATAAATTACAGTTTCATGATCGCTCAGTTTTTTTAGAAAGAATTTAAGTTATCAACTTAATTTCCTTTGAGTAACCTTGTACATATTTCAAATGTTTCTGTTACTGTTTTCTGCTGTACTCCCCCCCCCCCAAAAAAAATTTGTATCATTACAGAACTCTCATTTGCTTTAAAAATATAATGGTCTCTTGATTTCTCAGAAGCAACCATATGAGCAGGGGCCAATGTACATTATGTCTTGGAGTAGTCTATGGATTAGCCATTTGCAAAGAAGCGTCTATGATTTTCAATTAAAATGAAAAACAAGACTGCGTCTTGATCTCCAGATTCTGACCATTCAGCGGTTGCCTGCTATTGGGTCTTCAGCAACCTGTTGTTGTAATAAGAAAAACATGGCAGCCAAAAAGAAAATTCAACAGCTGAGTCCCCATTTCTGATTGAAATGACGTCACATTTTTTGAAGTCGACTTTGTTTGGCTGGCGCGCGAGTTCGCATGAAATTTGCATACATCAGACTTTGAGTACAGAATACGCTCCGTTGAACAACGGATGATACTCAGACTAGTCATGGAGCTGCTAAGCACAGAAACTCACCAAGTATAAGCCTCTGTACTGATGACGTCACACTTTGTCTACACGTGTGCTATCTTATGGCAGCCTGGTGGGGACGACGGTTTCTATTAGCCCCATAGAAAAGCGTCATTAGTACAGAGGCTCATTGAAGTTATTGCTCAGCAAAAGCAGGTTATCCAGCCAAAACAAAGAGCCATGTAATGTAGGCCTACATTGTTTGTGACTGGTTTCCTGTGGATTTTTGCTGAGTAAATACATTTGCTTAACACATTTTCTGCATAACAGCTCCATACAATTTTGTACTAGTAGTATCTACATGTACATTAGTTATCACCAAGGCACGTTTGGAATACAGAATAATGTAGAGGTAGAGCGTCTGAGGGACAACAAACGCGAGTGGATTATGAACTTATGTGCACAGAGAAGGTGGAACGCGCACGTATTACGTTTTACACCAACTTTTCAACAGTAATACAGTTTGTGCAGTAGAAATAGCGGGCATCTTATAGTGCGATATGCAGAGTGCAACATGGGCCGCTGTATTTGGTGTTAAATCACACTGCAATTGTTGCCATGGATTGACCAATCAGAACCAAGTATTTAAGTTTGCTGGTAGACAACAACTAGTATACTGACTGACCTTGAGGTTATACTTTTGGCAGGCATCCAGGAGGAGGGGAACCAGATCATCACTAGGGGCACCATTCTCATCAGATCTGTCTGGTGGGTACCATGACAACACTAACACACCTGCAATACATCAGGATTCAATTCGGAAACCAGTTTTTAGGCTAAAGCCGATGCACTTGAACACACAAAGTCATAAGATGTAATCTGCTTTTGAGTGGTTATCATCTGATAGTTGTCTTTTCACAGCATAGAAAGTTCAAATACTTTTAACTCAGAATCTCACTCTAGACCACTTTTAACGAGATGATAAACCCACATGTTTACAAAGCAAAATCTGATTTATAATAAATTACGTCAGAACGTCTGCACTAGTTAGCTGGAGGTCGTGGGTTCGAGTCCCAAGAAGTTTGTGAATTTTTGCTCACAATCACTCAGGAAAACACTGAGTATACACGGTTTATAAAAATACATCGGTGATGAAGGGCAAGACCCAATATTGAATTTATAATAAATTATGTTTAACAGTTGTCATCTGTTTAACCAGTTCACGCAGAAAATATTTTGACCAGTGCAGAAAGGAACGAGGCGCGGGATTACTTTTCACTCGAACTCAATCATGCCAGGCGGGTTGAAGCCATCACCCTCGGGCAGCACACTCATATTTCGGGCCTCGCTCCCTGCATGTTTATCTGTCATCCGCTCCGAATACCGCAAAACCTTTGCGTGTATACACGTCATCCGGCGCGAACTGGTTAACAGCTCTCAAGAGTTGTAATCAAATCAAAATACATGTCAGTCACAAGTCATCCAGTCTCAAGTCTAGTCACAGGCCATCCAAATAAACTGTGACCTTCCTTAGTCACGTTCATCCCCTTTACTCGTAGCTTACATGAACCTTGTGATTTAACTTGTGACTAATTTGCGATCAACTAGATTACACTTCTGAGCTTAACTCTAACTCCCTACTGAGTTTTGAACAGAACCAAGTCCACCAAAATCCATCACTAAAGCTGCTTCACATAATGCCTCAGGACCAAATCCGCCAAAAATCCACCACTGCTTTAGGTGGATTTTGATGGACTTGGTACCCATGGCTTGCCTACCAAAATCCCCCCAAATGGGGGGATGATTTGATGGAGTTGGGAAGGTTAGGGTTAAGAATAAAAAAACGTGGCGCTAAGCCTGAAAGTACTCACCAATGCCAGCCGTTCGCAACTGCTGCATGTGAATCTCAATCGCGCTGGGATCCCTAGAGCTATAACATCCAAGCTCTGGATAGAAGCTCGCTCCTATATCATCTGGAGGGACGTGCTCTTGAGTTGAGAACCTCTTGCCGATCTTCTTGTCCCAGTGAGGCAATCTGGGATGGTTCCAGTGGAGGTACTTCCCATTGAATTGCGGATTGCCGTACCACGGATAGTAGAAGGCGTGGACGTCGTAGCTGGGTTGGGGGAAAGTACTGGCATTATAACGTTCAATTAATGGTCTTTTCTCAGCTTTACCTCTGAGCAGATTCTTCAGTTTAGGGATGGGTTGGTTCGTGGGAACTCTCTTCAAAGTCTGATTGAGTCTGAGTTTTGCCGCTTTCAACTCCGCAAGCTTTTTGAGGCTTTCTTTCTGGAGTGCCTGCAGTCTCTTGAAATCATCATCTTTTCTGGTTTCTTCCTTGGTGAGGCTCCTGAGAGCAAGGTAGCATCCGATGATGAAGGCGATGAAGATACAGGCCGAGATGAGTCTCAGCGAACGCAGGGAACGTCTTGAGATCATCTCTGAGATTGCGGCATACTATTGGTTGGTGAGGAGCTAGAACTACAATGTGGAGGCATGTTGGCATCTTATGAACGGGTCGAGTTTCACCCAGAGATGCTTTCTTTGAATCTTCATGTGTTACACAACGAATTTCATGAGCTTTTCACTGAAGATGCGTCATAATGCCTCCTGGTCCTCTCTGCATGCAGGGTCAACTGTAAAATATAATGGGAAAATCACATCTGATCAAAACCTGCTTTCAGTTTCAGCAAACATGAATTTGGCCCTTTACATGTATTTTCTGTATTTCCTCATCCATGTTGTCGCAGTCTTGGGAAACCAGTCAAGAATAGTTTAAATAGCTTTAATCATAGACCCTAGACATTCGCCTTTACTACAATGACCGTGTAAATTTGGACTTCCTTGGCTAAATTGAAAATATTTAGGAACTGTATATATTGCCAAAATAAATTTCCCCGTCCCCCGGCCAAAGGTCATCAATTGGTCAAAGCAACTAGCCCCATACATGTGTTACACACACAACTCCAGGAAACACAACTTCAGGAAATTTTGCATATACATGTATACATCATCGTATAGAAACATTTAGTCCTATGTACATGTTACTGTTAGAGGGCGCTGTTCATTATAAATTGGGATTACAGTTTTGCTTTTTGGAGGCTAACTGTAGTGTTCTATTTACACGATTTAAATTCCAATATCAACATTTTTGAAATCATGATTGCTCTCTGCCTTTTTATCACTGAAATGAGGTATAAATAGACAACAGATTTGTGACTTTTACTTAGTTTTAAAACTGTGACTACAGAATTATGATGACTTAAATTTATTTTTAGTCATAATCTGCACTCTGATTTGTATGCAAAATAATCACACATTACTCTGCGTTAAGCAGGATATAGTTCACATTTCAATTCAGGAACACAAAATGCCAATTAATTTCCCAGACTTTAAAACCACATCTTCTCATCTCAATACAAGAAAAACACTCAAGTTTCGAAACGAAAACATTTACTCACTTGCGCCCATCAAACCCATTTTCGGATTTTTCGCTTCCCTAGATAGGGCGCCCTCATTTGGTAGTGGACTTTCTGGCTCATGCGTGTTGTATGAAGTGTACATCGTGGTTTCGCTCGTACCCCCGCCCTGCAAACAGGAGGGCGGGGTACGAGCGAACATCGTGGTACGGATATTCTGGACCGTTACACGCATCGCACGCGGTATTTTTCGCACGTAGATTTAGCGTAAATTGTCTACATGATCAAAAGCCAAAATGAAACCCAAATTGATTTTATTTCAATTAGTGCATGCATTTCAAAGAACGGTTTCGACGAGCTGCTGTGGCCTAGTGGAAATGAGCTATGGATCGTAAGATCTGTGGTTACCGGTTCGAACCCATGTCCATTATCATCAAATATTTTTGTTGGTTGTGATACGTTAAACTGAACGGAAAAACGACACGAGAACCAAGTGTCTTTCATCCACACAGCGTGATAAATATTTATGTATACTGAAGAAAAAACCCGCACCGGGCATGATCGACAGATTATCCAGCACATGGGCCGAAAACGGACCATGACACACCCGCCTTTTGTTTTGAACTCTGTTCCACAAATTCTTCAATGGACACTGGAATTACTATTGTCAATTTATTTATTTATTACAAATTGAGTTTCATGACTTCGTTCGTTTATTCAGCTGTTTTTGTCTCCTAAAGTAATAGATCATTTCAGGGACTCATCTGTGATATGAATAGTCTTTACGCCTCATCAGGTAAAAGGCGACCATAAATTTACATTCGTGCAAATGATGTCACGTAGGCTTACGCCACTCGATCAGGGGTACAATGTGCGGAACGGCACGCATCACGCATGTGCAAAGCACCTACGTGAATGCTTTACCGTCCTTATCTATTCGAAACTTTACGTGACATTGGTCACCAATGATTCTTGCTTTGTGCATTCGCCGATATCACTACGAAATCTTTTATTATTTTGTTTTGGCGGACGGCCAATCGATTTGAATACAAAGACACCAATTTGGTGTCTTTGTATTCAAATCGATTGGCCATCGCCAAAACAAAATAATAAAGATTTCGTAATGATATCGTCGAATGCACAAAGCAAGAATCATTTTGAGCAAAACCAAACAAGTTATCAAGTTTAAAAAGTATATTAAAAATGTAGCCATTAACAATTACAGTGAAATCTTCATAAAGTCAAACCTCAACCGGTTCAAAATGCGAATTGACTCAAAAGAGTTTTGAGCTATGGGTTGTATATCCGTATACTACTGACGGCAATGGATTATTTGTGTTGTTTTGAGTTTGACTCTATTTTTGGTAATAGTCTTATAATGTACAGTTATCGGCGTTGTTTTGGACTTTACTTCTCTGAAAAACATGCAAAAAAAAAAAAAAAAATTAGAAAAAAGACATGAATTCGAACTAATGAAATTCTGACTTTTTTACCTCCCTTGTTATTTGTAAAAAAAAAGTCATCCGAAGCCTCAGATTAGAAAAGAAAAAAAAATCGGGTAAAAATGGTGACTCGACCCCACACACCGCGAGGGTACTTCACGGCTCAAACTGCACGATCCTATGCTTGTTAAAATGCCAACTATCATAATATCGTAGGAAGCGCTCAACAACCATGTGATGCGGATCTTGTTTGGAAAAAAAAATAATTCGCAGGCGGGGCTGTGGGTGAGTTTTTCTTATTCCGATATGTAAGAGCGAAGATTGGGTTTCTTCTGGGAGCAGGGAGGTGGTTTGGTTCCTTTGTAGGCGTCACAGATCAACTTCATGAGGGCAGATTCGGCTGCGTTCTGAATGGCCTCCGTGTGCACCTGTAAAGGAGAAACAATTTCACTGCGATTGTAAAACGTACCACTACAATTCCTACTGCAGTAGGCCTACTTGGAATCACTCAATTTGGCTTTATCTAATTACTTCGGCACGTGTCTCTATTTGGGTTTTTGTCTATTTCACCTTCAAGGTATGATACAACCTTGGCACATCAATATTTCAGTTTTTGTTCAATTCTTTTAAAGTCTAACGTGAATGGGAAAACAACGTGGAAAAGGATCCAAGTCTCGAGAGGGTCCATCGGTGAGACTTGGGTTCCGAAAAATTTTCAACTAAACAGTGAATGTTATTCCTTCACGTAACCAAATACACTATAAATAGCCTAGTTATTGGACTTGTTTTCTCTGAAAATGTTAATTGTAACAAAATCGTAAGGTCTCGACTACAACACAGGAGACACATAAATAAGTACAGAGTACCAGAGAACTCACCCCATTCAGCGTGACCCAAGGTACGAACGTATGGCGGGGATTCAGGGCGTTGGTCTTGATGGCCATCTCATGCTCCAAGGCGTTACCCAAAGAGCCGTTGGCGCACCCCACTATTTGGTTGTAGCTCAAACCGTACTTCTTCACGCACTATACAAGAGATAAACAAAGATTATGAAACAAAGCTAACGAGTTCTTCCTTTGGTTTTGTCCATGGTAAGTCATGGCATCTCATTCGGTGCGGAAGATGAAAATAACACCAGATGTTTAGAAATTGTATCAACCTACAGACAAGACCCGGATGTGGCTATATACAATTTGTAGTCGGACAGTCTTTCAGATACCCTGGGGGGGGGGGGGGGGGGGTTGATAATAAGAAATTCATTGTCTGAAACGCATGCCTGTGTTGATAATGCCCTGCATAAACCTTGACTTACTTCTTCAGCGTTAGGTACGGGGTCATGGGTGGCCTCCATGCAGTAGATGGTCTTGAATGCGTTGGGAATGGAGCGAAGTGCAGGATGCAAGATTCCAATACGTTACCGCGCATTCCTGCTCCCCGTGCTGGCACGTGAAGACGTATTCGAGCCTTCCTGCTTTTCCTGTTGAGAGTTATACAGTCGGAGGCAAAACAATTAGGGATAGTTTACATCAGATTACAGCAACTTTATCTCGCGATCTAGTCCAGCATTGCTGTGCAACAAAATCATTTCTGATTGAGTATACATGTACTAACGTATTAAAGTTGAAGCTGAAAATGAAATTGTAGTGATTTTTCCCTCCTTACCAATTCTGGACTTAAACTATTTCGGGTGAAAAAAAAACCCGCTGGCTTTGGCTAGAACAATTGTGAGCGAAATGGAGGTCACTAAACTTGGCACTACCGTATACGTCTTTCTTTTGAAATACGTAATTTGATGCACAATATAATGGCACTATATTTTGGTCTTTAAATACCTTATGTAAATGTTATAGGATGCACAGTAAATGAACTTAAAAGATTAATAAATTAATCCTTGGTCGTATAATCAAGTAATCGATAAGTTATCGACTATAGCCTAATTTTTAACACAAGGGCTTTCGGAAGAGGGTTTAAGTGCAAATAATTCGGAATAAAATTGTTAATGTTCGAGTATCCCGAAAGGAAACTGTCTGACACAACGTACTCTGACGAAGTTAAAATAATCATCTGTTTCCAATATTAATGCATGTATAGGCTTTTAGGGTTGTATATCCGTATACTTACTGACGGCAATGGATTATTTGTGTTGTTTTGAGTTGACTCTATTTTTGGTAATAGTCTTATAATGTACAGTTATCGGCGTTGTTTTGGACTTTACTTCTCTGAAAAACATGCAAAAAAAAAAAAAATTAAAAAAAAGACATGATTCGAACTAATGAAATTCTGCTTTTTTACCTCCCTTGTTATTTGTAAAAAAAAAGTCATCCGAAGCCCAGATTAGAAAAGAAAAAAAATCGGTAAAAATGGTGACTCGACCCCACACACCGCGAGGGTACTTCACGGCTCAAACTGCACGATCCTATGCTTGTTAAAATGCCAACTATCATAATATCGTAGGAAGCGCTCAACAACCATGTGATGCGGATCTTGTTTGGAAAAAAAAAATAATTCGCAGGCGGGGCTGTGGTGAGTTTTTCTTATTCCGATATGTAGAGCGAAGATTGGGTTTCTTCTGGGAGCAGGGAGGTGTTTGGTTCCTTTGTAGGCGTCACAGATCAACTTCATGAGGGCAGATTCGGCTGCGTTCTGAATGGCCTCCGTGTGCACCTGTAAAGGAGAAACAATTTCACTGCGATTGTAAAACGTACCACTACAATTCCTACTGCAGTAGGCCTACTTGGAATCACTCAATTTGGCTTTATCTAATTACTTCGGCACGTGTCTCTATTTGGGTTTTTGTCTATTTCACCTTCAAGGTATGATACAACCTTGGCACATCAATATTTCAGTTTTTGTTCAATTCTTTTAAAGTCTAACGTGAATGGGAAACAACGTGGAAAAGGATCCAAGTCTCGAGAGGGTCCATCGGTGAGACTTGGGTTCCGAAAAACTGTTTCAACTAAACAGTGAATGTTATTCCTTCACGTAACCCAAATACACTATAAATAGCCTAGTTATTGGACTTGTTTTCTCTGAAAATGTTAATTGTAACAAAATCGTAAGGTCTCGACTACAACACAGGAGAACAGATAAATTAAGTACAGAGTACCAGAGAACTCACCCCTTCAGCGTGACCCAAGGTACGAACGTATGCGGGGATTCAGGGCGTTGGTCTTGATGGCCATCTCATGCTCCAAGGCGTTACCCAAAGAGCCGTTGGCGCACCCCACTATTTTGTTGTAGCTCAAACCGTACTTCTTCACGCACTATACAAGAGATAAACAAAGATTATGAAACAAAGCTAACGAGTTCTTCCTTTTGTTTTGTCCATGGTAAGTCATGGCATCTCATTCGGTGCGGAAGATGAAAAAACCAGATGTTTAGAAATTGTATCAACCTACAGACAAGACCCGGATGTGGCTATATACAATTGTAGTCGGACCGTCTTTCAGATACCCTGGGGTGGGGGGGGGGGGGGGTTGATAATAAGAAATTCATTGTCTGTAAAACGCATGCCTGTGTTGATAATGCCCTGCATAATCCTTGACTTACTTCTTCAGCGTTAGGTACGGGGTCATGGGTGGCCTCCATGCAGTAGATGGTCTTGAATGCCGTTGGGAATGGAGCGAAGTGCAGGATGCAAGATTCCAATACGTTACCGCGGCATTCCTGCTCCCCGTGCTGGCACGTGAAGACGTACTTCGAGCCTTCCTGCTTTTCCTGTTGAGAGTTATACAGTCGAGGCAAAACAATTAGGGATAGTTTACATCAGATTACCAGCAACTTTATCTCGCGATCTAGTCCAGCATTGCTGTGCAACAAAATCATTCTGATTGAGTATACAATGTACTAACGTATTAAAGTTGAAGCTGAAAATGAAATTGTAGTGATTTTCCCCTCCTTACCAATTCTGGACTTAAACTATTCTCGGGTGAAAAAAAAACCCGCTGGCTTTGGCTAGAACAATTTGTGAGCGAAATGGAGGTCACTATAAACTTGGCACTACACGTATACGTCTTTCTTTTGAAATACGTAATTTGATGCACAATATAATGGCACTATATTTTGGTCTTTAAATACTTATGTAAATTTATAGGATGCACAGTAAATGAACTTAAAAGATTAATAAATTAACTCCTTGGTCGGTATAATCAAGTAATCGATAAGTTATCGACTATAGCCTAATTTTTAACACAAGGGCTTTCGAAGAGGGTTTAAGTGCAAATAATTCGGAATAAAATTGTTAATGTTCGAGTATCCCGAAAGGAAACTGTCTGACACAACGTACTCTGACGAAGTTAAAATAATCATCTGTTTCCAATATTAATGCATGTATAGGCTTTTACTTATTACGAAAGGAAGGTCTACCTGTGCGTTTCCGTAGGGACCAGTGTCAAGTTCATGATTTTACTAACAGCCGTGTAAGTGTCGTGGAGTTGGCCATTGATGAACATTTGACATCCGGGACAGTAGGATTCGTAGACAGGGGGTGAAATTGACCAACGGCGCATCGCCGATTGGCCGCTGAAACTCTGCACACTGCTTCTCTACCTAAAGTTAAGAAAAGGGAAAAGGCTATAACATCGAAAATTCGCTACTACCTCGAATTTTATTACCTGGTCCTGGTTTTACCGTTTTGAAATCAGCAGAGTGGAGTAAACTGTCTATCCACACAAACTTTTCGAAACCGATTCGCTATGACAAAAGAAATCCAACGAACAAAGGACAAAGGAATCTTTGAAAACTTACATTGCATGCTGGGAAATTTCTGGAGAGCTGCACCACAGTTCTGGCGGGAAACTGCACGACGCTGGAACCGCGTCGACGGTCGACAGCAAAGTTGTGGCAGATGCCACAAGAAACAGAAGCGAAGGAAGCAAACGGCGGTCCATACTTTCCGAAGATGATGGTACAAGTATATTAATACTCAACAATGCATAGACGAAGAATAGATTGTTAGTGGTCACATGATGTTTATCTCCGTGGTTAGTTCACGAGTGACCTTCGGTCTTGTGATTAATACAAACATGCATTGTGAACTGCGGTTGTGAATTTCCGGTCAACTGCTAAAAATAATCGGCCTGATCAGCTGTGCAAATAATTTTATTGTGGCACTAAAGGGGCGTCCCCCGGGCCAGTACGTTATCCCACTGGTCTTGTGACTGTGAACATGGTGCTACAGATCTTTCTATTGTTTGTAAATACTGTCACTGAGCGCCGTTTGTACGGGATGCCGCGATTTTTTCCGTAGGTGGTTGCTCAAAATGTTATGTACAATTCAGTTTCCTTTGAATCGTTGCAAGATACTTATTTCAGTTTTTTCCCCCTTAAAATAAAATGATCTATTATCTCAACGATATACGCAGAGAAGAAAAATAGTCGTTGAAAATGAGCAGCGACGACCTGGATTCGAACCAGGGATCTTTGTATTCATAGCTCAACACGTTATCCACTAAGCTACTGTGGTAGCTCGACGACTCCCGTACCTTAAAACGCTTTAAAGGTAACTGATCGACTAAATAACAATACTCTTCATATTGTTTTGTTTCATGATTAACATATTGGCCCGATCGAAACTATATTGAATCATTCTTCACTTTGGAGCAACCATGGAGCAACCCACCTACGGAAAAGAAATTCGCCTACCACTAGCGCATAAATTGAAGCCGTGGTTGGCAACATATTTTTCCAAAAAAAGTTCTCATTACACCCTCTTTACATAAGAAAAGGGCATGTTTAAGGAATTATTTTGTAGCGTTTGTTGCTAATTTTGTATTTTCAATAATCATATATTTTGTACCCAGTGGCGTAGCCACGGGGGGGGGGGGGGCCCAAGTCGTCGCCCCCCCCCCAACTGAGATTTTGAGTTTCTAAAAAAATTACCATTGATCTACATGACGCCCCCCCCCCCCCCCATGAAATGTTCCAGCCCCCAGCGCTCCCACACTGAAAAATTCCTGGCTACGCCACTGTTTGTACCTATTCTTCATGCTGTTGAACCTTCCATAGTTTGGAAACCTGTGGTCGGCAACATAATGCCAACCACATGTCGGCATATGCATAGACAAAAGTCTATAGTATTTAATGTTATAAAAGCACAGCTGTATTCATCCTTTAGCTTTTTCTGCTTATTTTAATTGCAATTTCGCCTTGCAGATAGGTAATTTACCACATTTACTCAGCAAGTAAACAGAACGATTGTTATGACCAAATAAAATCTGTGAAAACTTTTCTCCACTTTAACAAGAGAAAATTGATGGATATACTAAAAAAACATATATGCAACAAAACATAAAACAAACAACAAAACAAACAGCCCAACAACACAATTAACAACCAATCAAACAAACTTTCTGATAGTGTAATTTCCTTCAGGAAAAGGTGCATTCCATTTCTTTTTGGCTTCTCCCGTGTACGGTCTCTGCTTTTGCCCAAAGTTAGAAATCTTTTGACAATTACCAATTTTTACCAATTATATAGAACATGTTGAATGTAAAGTAACAAGTAAATGTTTAATCTCCCTGGTTCTCATAACCACCTCTTCTTTAAAATAAACACAGTACACCAACAAAGAGGGCGTTTTTTAATTACCATTTTGAGAGCCCCGTGCAGACGGGACACCATTTTGAGAGACCCGTGCAGACGGGACACATCTCACCACGTGTGCATACTGTAATGTACTAGTATATGCACATCATGTTTTATCATGAACGTGCCACAGTTTACTAAGCGTCTTCGCATGAGCGTCATGCGTCGCCAAAGCTTGCACATAATGACAATTCTTTTTAACATATTAAATTATGGCATTTGGTATTTCAGGCATTCTTTAAGCTCAGGCATGAGCTTCTGCATGTCACTTGCTGGTCGGTCTGTCTGTCTGTCCCCGAAAATTGACCAAAAGTATGGTGTTCCATATGTGCCATCAGTGTCGCATTTTCCGGCATCACATTTTTGAGCTCTGCATGGCCGGCATCATTTTGATCGATTTCAGGTCAGACTTTCATGCAAGACTGCTGCAACACGACCACAGCTTATTATGCAATCACACTTGTTTTTAAATCAACTACAAATGGAGATGCTGGGGCGATCTACCTTCACCAGTTTCTTCAATCATCCCAATCTTCAAAAATCACATATGCTTGAGTGGTGTTATACCGAGAATCTTCATTCCATTGGCAAGGGCCTGTCTGGTACTATTAAAAAGTAGAAGCCGTGCCTGCCAAAAAAAAACAATAAAAAATCAAAACTTTACTGGATTTTTACAAAACAGTAAGGACGTTCTTCATGAGATTATTGTAGAAAAGATAAATGGTAATTTTAATAGTCAATAAATTAAAAAATAAAAGACATGACAAACCTCTGCTTGTTGCTTATCTGCGTCTTTCACTCGCAGGACTTTTACTGCGGAAGATGCAAAGTGGCTGAAGACAGTGAAAAAAATCAAAATGTATCACAATTTGTCATTGGATTGATATTACTTAAAGGGAATATACATCATTTGCTTTTGCTGTAATTTTCAGAAATGGATGGAATTGGGGGGTTGGAAATATATAGCAAATATAGTTACACTGACTTTTTTGAGGTTTTGGGTTCGAAAAAGCTATAAAAACCAAGAAAAACGATCATTTTCCTGTAGTCTGGTTCCCTGACTCCATATAAGAAGAAACAGAGCAGTTTACATACATTGGGGAATTGTAAGGTCAGGGAACCAGTCTAGCTGGCTCGTACCCGTTCATAGGTTTGTAATCGATTGCAACAAGTGCGATGGTCAATTGGGGCCAGTATTTGAAAAAAAAGCCAGTTGTTTCCAACGCTGATCGGCCGATCAGCGTTGGAAATTGATACAAAAATACTACTTTTCTTGAAAATGGCAGTATACCAGGTGCCATGATTTTACAGGATGCTTTACACTGTCATTCACTAACAGTCCAGCAAGGTATTTCAAAATGATTTGGTAGTTTTATTTTTTGATGTTTGCAAATGATGTATTTTCCCTTTAACTTTCTTTGCACTAACTGCTTAGTACAGACAAACTTCATTCAAATAAATTACGAACTGAAGTTTCATTTTGATGCTCCCCGTTTCCCAATTAATTTTGCATCGCACTGAAGCACATGTGATGTATGAATCAGCCTGAATGCCATTTCAACAGACAAGATAAACTGTTTTTCGAAACCTTTGCAACCCCAACTTATTTTCCAGAGCAACTTGGGTCTTAAAAATATTTGTATTTTCCTAAAGGCCCCTCTTTAAATCCCAAATTTCTTACGTTTTAATACATAAACGTTTATAGGCAAAGACACCTTCATGGTAAAACCTCAGGAATTCCAGGTTATAAAAAGGGGTCTTTAACAATCCCGAAATCAGAAAAACTGATGACAAATCTCACCCCTGACCTACTCTAAGTGTCTTACCAGAGTTGTAGTAGGTAGACTGTGAGGTGACTGGGCTCCATGGAAGAGTGCGCTTTGGTGACGGCAGTACTGAAGAGACTTAAATGATGGGCAAGTAGAATGGCTTCGGGTTCAGTCAAGGTAGAGGTATCACAGGAGGGATCCAGGGACACACCCGATAATTGCTCAATACTGCAAACAAGAAGTGACAACAAGGTGATTATACTGGGCAAAATTCAAAGGCAAACGTTCGCTATATGATCAAAGACGAGGCATAAAAATCTAACCATAAGGAATGTCCCAGAAAACCTTTTCAGGTCAGACAAATAACTTTGTACAAAACAGACTAAATTATTAAAGCTTGTGGATTAGTTAAGCTCATACCCATGTAGAAAAAGTCAACAAATATTTTTACGCTGATAAATCTGAAGTAGAAAAAATTTAACAATAGGTGGAGCTCTTCATCAACAGATCACTGGTAATGTTTTAGTAAAGTGGATTGCCATATATGCTCAAATATGCTTTTTAGCTGGGGGGGGGGGGGGACTTCAAAGTCGAATTAATACATGCTAGTTTATCAGGAGTGAGATTGACAGAAAATGAAAAATCAACAAAACAATCACAAGTGGGTTTGAGGGTCATCTGATGACCCACAGCAATGAAGGGTCTACCAAAAGGAACCCCAAATGCCAATTTCTTTTGTTCTATCTAAACCTTTATGGGTACCTTAAAAACCTGTGATTTCATCAAAGGGATTTTTTTACAAATCCTGAAATCACAAAAAATCCTGACAAAATCTTATCCCTAGTTTATACTCTGGGCAAATGCGAATGTAAAGACAAATCTGAGCAAATTAGAACCTGTGCGTATTGTTTTCCCTGATGTGATGTTAACTTCATGTCCCATCAGCATTCTCATTAAGTATGAGCCTGTGATGAAACACAGAAGAAAGCCCGTCGTCCAACAACTACAAGTGGAGATTACCGCCATACCTGTAGAGCCTGGCATGTGTGTACTGCAGGAACACACCCGTATCACCCTGGCTTGTCAGGATGCGATTCCAGTCGAAGCGGTAATCATTCATCAGTTTACCCCTGAGATCCTGAACGATCATTGCGGACACCCCTAACTGCTCGGCGACTTCCTCAGGATTATCCAACTGCTTGCTTGCTACAGGTAAAATAAACAAAAACTTGGTTGAAAAATATATAGATGAATGCCACTTTAAAGGGAAGATACAACATCTGCAAACATCACAAAACGAAATGATCAAATTATCATGACATACCTTACTGGATTGCTATAGGAATGACAGTCTAAAGCATTCTGTAAAATCGTGGCTCCTGGTGTGCTGACATTTTCAAGAAAAATGGTATTTTTCCAACGCTGGTCAACTGACCAGCATTGGAAAAAACTGGCTTTTTAAAAAAACTGCTCCTAATTTTTCATAATTAGTTATTTTGCATTTTCTTTGCAATTGATTACACACCTGTGAAGGGGTGCAAGCCTGCTAGACTGATTCTCTGACCTTACAATTCCCCAAAGTCTATAAATTGCTCTGTTTCATCTTAAGTGGGGTCGGGGAACCAGACTATAAGAACATGATTGGTTTTCTTGGTTTTTCCAGCATCTACAAGCCCAAAACGTGAAATAAGTCATTTTAACAATATGTGCTATTTTACTGATCCTCCAAATCATTTATTTCTTAAATTGCAGCAAAAGCAAATGCTGTACATTCCCTTTAATGAACACCACAATACCGAACATTTGACAATGGACTGTGTACACAAGTAACACCTCAATGGTTACAAATGGCAACTTTGGGGAGACCATTTGGGGAGACCACAATTGGAGCGACCGTTGAACGTAGAGCTGACTGTGGCTGGCACTCATGACGTGCAAATTCCACACTCCAAATATTAAAAATGGCGTATAATGCACAACATACGCACACGAACAAGTACAAGCACGTAGTGTGTCTCTCGTACTGGGGCTCTGGAAAGTGGTCACAATAGGCCCTCTACTGTAGGGGTGTGCATTTATGGGTACTATGGGAACCAGGTACCCGATTGACCAAAAAACCACAGGTACCCGGGTACCTGTTAAAGAAACCTAACCCCAAAATTCGAATGTCGGAACTTGATCCTATAATTTGGAACTGGTTCCTGACATCAACAGTCGGTGCTCAGTTCTGATGCACAGCCCTAATCTACTATTCATGCATGGCGGCTGTAAACCCTAAAAGAGCCAAAAGGGGGGGGGGGAACGCATCTTGAAAACTGAAATTTCCCATATACGTCGTGTACATAGAGCAGAATTACCATTCGTACATATGAATAATTAATTAGCTATAATTCCAAAACCCTTTGACCTATAGTCATGAAATTTCTTGGGTATGTTCATGATGAGTTGCTCTCTGCATGTACCGAGTTTCAACATTTTTCGTCGCTCGATGGCCGAGATCTTAGGAGGCCCCCCCCCCCAGCGGCAGCTGAAATAGCACTGTTGAACGCCCACTCTGCCGAACACTCTTTCGACCCGTTTGTCTTGGTGGAGTTTACTTACATGCTGTCTCGTGCATGTTGTGCAGCATACGATTCCTAGCTTCATCAAGGATATCTCTGAGTAACACCACATTGCCCGTCCTTGTCTGCATACCCAGCACTCGGCCAAACTTGATGTGGTGACACCTGTTCTGACGAGATGAATAAGAGGAGTATGCCAAATTGAACAGGTGGTAATGCAAAGTTGGCCTTGAGGTTTTGTGAGGTTTAACGAGGTTTTGTGAGGTTTAACAGGGTTTTACAGGGTACCTCAGGCTCCTTGCTAGAGTTACTGCTTGCTTAATTCTAAATGCTTCCCTAAAGGCAATTGTTAACACAGACGCCTCTAGCATTAAAAGTGATGAGTTTGCCAGTGTTGTAGTCGAGTCCACCACAAGTCCGTCAAGTCTTCAAATTGCAAGTCAAGGCACAGACTTTACAAATGTGACAAAAGCATCCTTCCGTTTGATATTGTTCATCATCTATTACTTGTGACCGGGCTTGTGACGCGACTTGCGATGGTAGACCTGTAGTGGACTCGATTCCAACAACGGCTTTGGCTATGCTGGGCATGAAGAAAGGAAGCTGAAGAAATTAGACCAAAAAGAGGAGTCTAGAACTAGCACGCCTATCAACACAGCTGATCATGCAACTGTCCTCATGAGCAACGAAACAGCACCCATGAGATAATAAAAATTCCTTGCACTTGCGATGATTTCGATTAAATAATTCCCGCACCTGTCAGCCAAGTCGAGGTTCATCTTCTTCAGCACTCCTCTCAGCTGACAGAAATGCCCCTCCTGACTCTTATCCACCACGTAGTACATCCCATCGTAGCGGTGTGTCTCGTAACGGTCGATGGCAGCGGCGATGTCTCTGGTCAGGTACAGAGTAGTTCCGTCGCTTTTTAACAACGTGGCGAACTTAGATTGGGGTAGGCTCAAGTCGTGGAGATCAACGATACCAGTTCCCTCTCTATATTAACAAAATTGAGATGTATGAGTGAAGGACTTGGATATTGAAGTGGTAATCAGTTTTTCGTTCATCGCTTGTAGGATGTACTGTACTGGTTGGTAGGAGGTCCTGGGTTCGAGTCCCACCAGAGCCAAGCTTGTTCGCACATAATCCTTTTTAGATAGTACCTAGTATGCATGTAAAGTACTTATAATAATGTTGGTGAAGGGCAAGGCCTATTATATTACAAATACTGCAAGTAAAACCTGTGCGATCCCCCTGGCATCCTGGCAGTTTGTATATATGTACAGGCAGTATAGGACAATTTACAGTGACGGCCTTGATTGTCCACCCGGCAAGTACCAGTTCTCAATTGAATGGGGAATTTGGGTTAAATGGGTAGTTAAGGTGTGACACCGGACTTTCTGCGGCCTAGTCTTGGTGCGTTGACTGCGTTCCCCTTGCCACTGCAGCATATGTTAGAGTCATTAGTAATACTGAGCTGAGCTCTCCAGAGACCTCGTACTTATCCATATTGGAAAGGATTCTTTTAAAGTTAGTCTTCTCTCCACACCTTTTGGTTGAGATTGATGACTGAACTAACAGTGAAATGGAACACACACACTAACTGAGACAAGGACACACAGAAGGAAAACGCGATAGCAAATTTCCCCTGTCTGGCTTGATAGCCCGGGGGATAAAAATAGCATACGTTTTGATTTGTGACATTTTATTAAGAAGATGTTCTCCAGTCATTCAGCAATATTCTCTAGTCAATCTTAAAACCACAAAATAAATCAACAAACTTGAACACATGAGAAAATGGTAACATACATACTCGGACTGTACAAGCAAGCCTTTATCTTTGAGTATTCTTAGCAGACTGTGTGCCTTCTCTCCATACTGAGACTCCCACGCATACTCATCAAAGGCTATACCTAACCTCTGCAAATAGGGAAAGAACATATCAAATGAGTGTTGAAAGAAGACCAGAAAAAAACACCTGGATTTTGTTTTCAGTAAATTGCTGAGTTCGTGCAAGAGTGCTAGTGCTCTCAGGACAATGTAGGATTGAACCCACACACAAGGCCTGTTCATACTTCACACGAATGTGAATGAGAAGTGAATTTGACGTTAAGAAACATTCACAGCCTATAGGTGTGTTTCCTGGCTTTAGCAAGAATTTGAAGAAAAAAAAGGTGCGTCAATTTGTTTTGTGTTGCAAAACAGGGTGTCCTAGTTGCTAAATGGGTCCCTGCTGTTTACAATTTGTGTAACAAAATGAGTAGGCTAAAATAGATTAAGGCGCATCCAAAAGACACCAAGACATCCCTTGTGCTAACATGTTGGAGTGTTCCTCTACAAAGACACTTTTGGTAAGTGCAAATATTGTTAATGACCAGTAAGTACATGCACTCTGTTGAGGGGACCATACTACTGAATGCGGTTTCACTGAGAGACGTTGTCATAGAGGGAAATATTGATTTGCATAGGAACCACTGTACATGTATCTCATTATGCCATTACAAACCAAACACTCTATTAAATGTGCAAGGTGTACAATCATTTGCCAGACTTTACCTTATAAGTTGCTGAATATTCCAAGGTGCTTAAATCTCTGAATCTCCTCCATAGACCAAGGCAGTTGGAGTCTCCTGAAAATTGAACAGTTATACCCTGGGCATTGTTACATCCATACAGCATCGCATGAATCGCCAATGAAAAAAATTCAGCACGATAACCACATTTGTATTGTAAACATTTAACATGTGCCTGAATCCACATATACAGGTATGCTGTCTGTATTTTAAAGTGGCATTTAGAGAAAGTTTCAAATTCAACAAAAATTAATCGCACAATTAATACAATAGAATAGTCATCATTCCCCCCCCCCCCCCCCCAACTGGAAATTTGTTAGTCCTACATCAGGCATGCAACTGTACATTCACAAAAAAAAGAGGAGATTCCAACATTCAGAAGACTTTGTACAGTGTTTTTCTATTTTGAATGACAGAAATGGGAATAAAAAAAGAGGAAATCAGCTGATCCGAGGAAAAGTTGCATGCCTGCTACGTGATGTATAAGTGACCATGGTTAACAGGTTTAACAGAAATTGCCCCCCCCCCTGTAACGTCCATTCCTCACCCCACTCGCCCCCTATGGTGAAAACCCTGGTTACGCCACTGCATATATCAATCGTCATGTGTAGTTCATGAGCTAATAAACTGGGAAGACAAAATAGAGTGTACAACGTAGAACAATTCTTGTGCATAAACTCAGTTTTCTTTCAAAGTAGTCAGCAGGATAAAAACACCAAATGGAGTTTTTCAGCATAGTAATGCATAATAATAGCCGCTGCATATATCTTTGTGTGTACGTTTTTAGTTCATAAGCAAATAAATCGGGAAGACGAAATATGTGTATAGTGTAGTTACAGTTTTAATGCATAAACTCAGTTTTCTTCCAAAAGTAGTCAGCAGGATAAAACAAACCAAATGGAGTTTTTTTCAGCATAGTAATGGATTTTACAACCATTCATGGAAGTAGCTTTTGACATGACACACCTCAGCATACCAAAATGCCATGAAAAAAAGTAAAGGTAAAGGGGTGAACCTGTGCTCACAGGAATGGAGTGCCCATCTCTTCTTCAAAGCGATTGGGCCACACTCGAGTCCATGAAATGCTGCTGCAAGGGGATCGCCACAGCTCCTCCACAGCGAGTCTGTTGAGCATTGAGTAATGCCGGTACCCATTTAACACCTGGGTTGAGAGGAGTAATTGAGGTCAAGCGCCTTACTCAAGGGCACCACACGCATGGCCACAGCGGGGCTCGAACCCACAATCTCACGATCATGAATCCTGTGCCCTACCCCTAGACCACACTTGCCCCAAAATGCCATATATTACCTTTATCCATAGCTTGGGAGAATTCCTGTACTTCTTGGTGAACCCTTGGGTCAGATTTGGCTTCCTCGTTGACCCGTACGTACACATCAAACAAATGCTGTATGGGATTCTGGGCTAGTTCCTCCTCGCTTCCATATCGCTGGAAACCGACACCCAACAATCCTGACAATGGGATCAAACAAATTGGACAGGAGAAAAGGAAAATAAGGTCTTGCAGTTTGAAGCTCCGTGGGTTTATCCATGTCACAAAAGGGAACGCGAATGCGAGTTTGTAACATCAGGGCAAGAGCTCGACCCGTGAATTGGCAAATGTTGAACTCATTTCAACTCCTGCAAATTTCGCAGAGAATGCTTCCTGACGTCAAATTCGCATTGCATGCGCATGAACTTACTTTTATTCAATGCAAATCTTCAAATGTTAAAATTGAGTGGGCTCCTTCATTTTTTTTCTTATGTTACCTTAACCCTAACCCCCTAGGCCCTTGTTGCTTACAACCATCCTCAATCCTCCAAAATTTTGCAACTCCGCCTAAATTTTTCAAAATTGTCAGACAGTCCTGCCTCAAAATGCATTCATCCTCAATCCTCCAAAATCCTCTTGTGCTTCAATCACCATTCATCCTCAATCCTCCAAAATCCTCATGTGCTTCAATCACCATTCATCCTCAATCCTCCAGAATCCTCATTTGATTCAATCACCATTCATCCTCAATCCTCTAGAATCCTCCAAAACCGCCAGGAGGATTTTGGAGGAGTGAGGTGGGTTAGGGTTAACAAACCTAGTTTGCTTACCAAACTGCACTCCCCAGTCCCCGAGAAAGTTCATCCTTGTTACGTCGTGGCCCATGGCAGCATGCAGATTAGCGACGCAGTTACCAATCAGCGTGGACCTCAGGTGACCTGCGTGGAATGGCTTGGCAATATTGGGAGAACTGGAAATACAAACACAAAAACACACCAAAATAAAAACAGTTTCATAACAATTGCCTCTAACTTCTCAATGGACCCTGGAAAAATTGATGTGCAGCGCAAACAAGCAGGATTCATGAAGCAAAGCAAATGAGCAAATTGAGCTGATGTTATACAAATAATGAATGTTTGTGAGTGCAATGGTAAGAAAAATTTCATGAGGTGACAGATGGAATGGAACATTTCATCTGTCACTGAATGAAATTATTCTTTCCATTGCACGAACGTGAACCATTCATTATTTGTTTTATATAACACCTGAATAAATCCTTGTCATCTGATTGGTTGACTTTTATTTGCCAATTTATTCAGGTCAAAAACTGTTTGAAAGTTTGACAAGGAAGTTCATCATATTTAACTTATGCAAACTGTTCAACAGGTTGAGAACCATCATATTCAAGTACACCGCCAGCAGCGATGACACCGTGCAATGGAAGTTCTATTCACTGTTCAATGGAACTTCCATTGCACTGTGCGCTGCGCGCTGCGCACGCGCCGTGCATTGGGACGAATAATTCAATAACATGTGATCAATGATCCACTAATCAGATGACGGGGATTTATTCAGGTGTTGTATAAAGCCAAATGTTTATTATAACGGTGTTTGTTATGGCGGCGTTTCACTGTACATCCATAAATTGTGTCATGAAAGTGGGGATAAATAACGGCAGTCCTGGGCACTACAGTGGCAGGGCAGTGCAGTGAGGCAATGGAAACACTGATATTTCAGGATGACATTTTTACAGTTTACCTAAATTCCACAATCATCCTCTGTCTCTGCATGTCTGTCCATGGCTCTGGCGTCACCCCGTACCGGTCAGCTTCAAGCTGGACTTGCTCCAGGACTTTTTGGGCCATCATGGACGGACTCACATGAAATTTGACCAATCCGTTGCTCGCAACTTTGACGTGATGGACATGAGCAGGGCAGGTCATCTGTTGGAAAATTAAGCACACTTTATTTCTGCCGGTGTTCGAGAGGGCCAGACTACAGACCTTATTGTCTCTCGTGTCACTTGTGGGCCGAGCAGTGCAATCATATAGAAGTACCCAATAACACCAATTAACCTGCCTACCGTTTGATCAGTCGCAGACAGAAATCAACTCCCCCCTCCTTATGGGCTCTGTGCGCCAACAAAGGAGGGCGCCTTTTTATCACTTTTGAGAGCCCCTTGAACAGGACACCACATGTGCGTACAGGACTGGTTTGCGCGCAAAGTACGCACGACTTATTTACCCTGAATGTGCACAAAGCTAAGCCATAGCGTCTTCGCGCGTGAGATCAGGCGTCGTCAGCGCGCGAATACGTACGTATGCAAAGTACGCACGACTAGGCTTACCTTGTCTTATTCATTAGAAATACACAGTTATACTCCTACATGTGTAACTTTGGCAACTTGTCCTATTCATTAGAAATAATACTCCTACATGTATAACTTTGGCAACTTCACAGTAAACTTACAGATATACCCTTCTGACTAAGGTCTATATTTACTGTAAGAACAACTTTCTATCTAATCGCCTTTTGTGTTGGAGGCATCGAAGTGAAATACTATGGCTCTGTGCACATGTACCCAATCTAAGCCAGAAAAGGATAGTTGGAGGTGACCTAGACTGGTTCCCGATCCATCCAGTGCATATTTGGAATGTATCCAAAGTTATTGGAGGCGGGGATTAGTCTCGGAGACCATTGGAAGTTGAATTTGGACGTATTTGTGCGCCGACGACGCCTGACGCTCACACAAAGTCGCGGTGGCTAATGGCTTTGGCACATTCAGGAAGTCGCGTGTACTTCGCGAGCGAACCAGTAAAGTACAGTACGCGCACGCTGTGTGTCCCGTCCACGGAGCTCTCAAAAGAGGTAGAAACGTGCCCTCTTTTGTTGGTGCAGGGAGCCCTATAGCTACCTTAGTTTTTTCCAACAGAGATCATGTTTGAAAGGGATCACTTTGTGTACATTTGAACTTTACCTTGGAAGCAATTTTCTCTGCAAACTCTTGCAAGCCTTTCCCCGACGGTGTACTGCCTGGTGACACATGCTTCTGAAACAGGGGTTTCACACTCAAACCATACTCCAGAACAATCCTGTGTATAAAACATAAAAAAAAAAAACACCAGCATGTCATTAAAAAAAATGTTTTTTTCACGGTGAGTGTGTAGATTAGGCCCCCCCCCCAACTTTTGCTTCCGATTACATTTAAAAATAGGGTAGGTTGGATAGGGAAATTTTTTTTTTGCCAATTTTTTTGTGCACGATCGTATGGAGGCGTCTCTGTGTTGTCAAGGGTAAAAGGTAGAAATTGATGGTTATCGGTTTTCCCCATTTTGCCCATAAAAAAATTAGGGTAGGCGCTAAGTAAAACTTTTTTTTGGCCTTTGGGCCTATATTTCAAAACAAGACATGGCTGATAAAAAAAGTCACAGACAACTCAACTGTCGAAAACTCGACACTTCTGACATTATGCTCAGCCAGTCATAAGGATCGAGACAGACCACATTGTCTGACATGAGTTTTCACCTCTTCTTCCTTGAACAGAAATTCACAAGTGAGATTTACTCTAGGATGGTAACTGCAAACTGACAGTTGCGACTACAAAACCTTCACATCCGATTCGGCTATACTAAACATCGTGTTTAGCTTCTGATTTTTGTGCTCAAAACGTACCAAACATTGTCGTTACAAAATGCTAACAGAAGAGCTATTATTTCCCCAAGGAATAGAAGGGGATATCTATTGCTGTAGGTAGTAAACTAAAAAACTGTGCAATCACATGATTTAACAGTCGGCAACTCTTCAAAGTCATCTGTCACTAACTAACAGGGCATGCAGGGTGAAGTTCTGAAGGGCGCTATTTATTGAACAGTGAGTACCAGAGCACCAGCAGCATAACATGGCTATAGCAAAGAATCGCTATTACGAACGTCTTCTGTAGATCCCGCGATGTTCGTTATAGCGGTGTTCCACTGTACTTTCCCACAAATTATGCATTTGAGATCAGGTAATAAACACATTTGAATGAGTATAGAGTGTGAGTATTATATGACATTGTATACAAGTGAAAATACTGTACCTTTTCTTGGTAACAGGAAGTGGGGATATCAATGGCAGAATGCTCTCTTCAGTCAAACCAGTCGCCTTGGAAACCTGTATAAATTTCAACATGACGACAGTTTGTAAGAAACAGCTTTTGAACTTTACAGAAATTTTGCAGAAACTAGGGCTGTAGTTAAAAACATAAAGAGGGTCAGTAGGCCTATAATTAAGAAAACGTTTACTGAGGCTGCAGAGCTGGAGTTTCGGGGAGCCACAAAAACTGTTTTCAAAAATAACAAGAAATCAGGGTGTCCTCCACTACACTAAGTTTCAGTATGTACTATGAATGATGTACTACGCTAGTCTATACGCGTAAGAGTTGGCCGCGTACGAGGTGATATCGCGTACGACTCCGAGGTCCAAATCCGAGTTGGCTCGCGTATGATTTGTCCTGTGTAGTGCGTATGGGGCAGGGCCAACTTTCAGTTGCAATTGTTTATGTGTTTATAGTGTATTAAATAGGAGTAGCTCCTCTTAGAAAAAGGAAATTTTTATTTTAGCTTAGATGTCCCTCCCCCCTTTGTCATAGTTAGTGTTCCCCCCTGTTTGTTTATTTTAGGTCCCCCTAGAAATCCTGCCACATGGTCAAGCCACTTTTAGTTCAACCAGCAGACCAACAGAGACAACTTCATAGTAGGCCTACATGTATACCCGTATCTTATGTTCCTCCAAACTGGAGTGGTCTGTCCTGTTTGAACTCTCTGCTCGTCATTTGGTTTTTCTGCCCGAGTGTATTTTCTACACTGTAAGGTCCATAAATTCACACTGTGTTGGTTTTTGGGTTTAGTCTTTTTTAAGCTTAGTCTTGATTTTCGTGGTTTTGGTTTTATAATTGGCAGTGGATATTTTGCCGGAGATGGCAAACCTTTAGTAAACGTTAGCTTGCCGGATATGCTCTGAACATAGGCCTAATTATGCACAGTTACTGTTGTACTTAGACATTTTCCAGTGACAAATTTTAGTCTGGCTCCATGCCAATATTATCGTTGTAACTTCGTATTCACAAGATGGGAATCAGACCATTTTATAATTTCGGACTTTATTTCTTTGCTTGCCGGCATTACCTCCGGCAAAATATCCACTATCTTTATAATTATCCAGTCATTTTGGAAGTTCTTGTATCGTCAGTCCACCTAAAACGACGACGATCTACATGTATTTTGAACTTAAGCACTCATTCAATTTGCGTTGGACAACGCACGCGCACTGCAAGCGTAATACCTGCGCTGATTATGATGACTCAAGGATAAATTAATTTTTGTCTTTTTTTGTTCGAAATCTAGAATTTGTGTCTGTGTCTCTATTTATTCAATTTCCTCGCAACTTTTCCTTTCAACTTCGATTCTGAAAGATAGTGGTTGAATTTTCACGGATAAATTTGCAACTCAAAAAAATAATTGTGAGTATTATTGATGCCCCAATACTTGTCTTAGTCTTTGACATGTGGACAAGCCAGTAGGTGCTTTCAACATGTTGATGATGTTCAATCAAGGCAGTGGATATTTTGCCGGAGACAGCAAACCTTCAGTGAACGTTAGTTTGCCGGATATGCACTGAACATGCGCAGTTACTGTTTTTTTTTTTACTTAAACATTTTCCGGTGACAAATTTTAGTCTTGCTCCATGCCAATATTATCGTTGTATTTCTGTATGTACAAGATGGGAATCATACCATTTATAATTTCGGACTTTATTTCCCTTTAAAAAAAATCCTCCAGAGCCACAAATCTGAAAAAGAAAAAGTAATACTCTGCAATAAAATGTTTGAGACATTAAAATAAATAAAAAGAAGAATATTCTTATTTATTTGGGGATGGAAAAAAAAAACTTAAAATTGTGGCGGGGACCAGGATTCGAACTCGTGACATCCCACTCACCAGAGTCACTGCTTAACCACTGCACCGACTGTGCTACACAACTTAGATGGGAATTATAATTCAGCCCTATCTTAAAGAGTACAGCGCCCTCTGTTGATATGGATTACCGCCGGCAAACCTAGTAAACGTTAGTTTGCCGGCGTTACCGCTGGCAAAATATCCACTATCTTCAATCAAAGGTATTTTGGTCAAGTTTTTTGCGTGATTTTTGGCAACTTTTGTGGTGAACTATGGAAATTGCAACATTGAGAATTTTTCCATAATGATTCCGAGTTCCACTTGGCCATGTGAACCGGCATCTAGCCCCATAAATGTGGCCTATTTACTGGACTGCCTCCGTAAACATAGGCCACACATCCACATGTACAAAAACGTGTCGACTTTGCCAAATTTTGATTTTCACATTTAGACTTACTTTGTAGGTTTTTTTTGCTTTAGAAGCATTCTCACCCTCTATATAGGCTAATCAGAAAGTGCTGCCTTTTTCAGATGTCCATTTTTCGTGAAATTTCCAGATACATTTGCACACGTTTGCGTATCAAAATTCAACATGAAATTTCACAAAAATTAGACATCTGAAAAAGGCAGCACTTTCTGAAAAGCCTATATAGAGGGTGAGAATGTTAAGTTCTAAAGCAAAAAAACCCTACAAAGTAAGCCTACATGTGAAAATCAAAATTTGGCAAAGTCGACACGTTTTTGTACATGTGGATGTGTGGCCTATATTTACGGAGGCAGTCCAGTAAATAGGCCACATTTATGGGGCTAACCGGCATCATGACCATGCTAACTGGGGCGCTATCCGAGAAGTAGGCCTAGAACTCCTTTTTTGACATTTGGGATGTTGGTCTGTCACACTAGCATGACTAGCATCCCACTATCATGACTATGGTATTGACAGACCAACATCCCAAATGTCAAAAAAGGAGTTCTACTTTTCGCATGTCCATGATGTCTAGCGCCCCAGTTAGCATGGTCATGATGGTTCGCATGGCCAAGTGGAACTCGGAAGCCTGCTGATATTCAACTTTCAAGAAGGTGTACAATCAATAGGATTAGGAAGATGATCATGATATCGTCTTTTAACCTTACATAGGAAAGGGGTCCTAAAAGTAAGGATTATACATCGTAGCATAAAATAGCCTACCTGAACAGCAATAAGTCTTTTTAAAACGACCGCCATTTCAAAAGAAGCAATTGCAAGGCGTTAATACACCCATGGAGGTAGTAATTCTATGATACACCTGACATGACCTACATGTATCATCAAACGACGGCGCGGTCAGCGCTGAGCGCCCAGCTCTCACGGCAAGGTCGCCCAATGCGATGCACATGTGTCACTCTAACACCGGTCAAATGAGGGCGCCATTCTATTAAAGGTTGCAACCATTGATCTCCATATGGAGATCAATGGTTGCAACCTATGGTTGCAACCATTGATCTCCATATACACAGTCTGTGTACATTGTATATGGAGATCAATGGTTGCAACCCTTCAAGTAAATTCCCATAGACACTAGTGCTAAATGCCCATACTTCAAATTTCTTTTAAAAAATACTCGGATCTCACACAGGTGTTCAAGCTGTACAGAAAAATGATGATCAACATGTCATCTTTCGTTTTCCTTTCATTTTTCGGTGGGTTGACCGTTAACATTTCCCTACAAACTAAGCCTAAATGTGAAAATCAAAATTTGGCAAAGTGCGAAACGTTTTTGTGCATGTGGATGTGTAGCGCGCGCCGGTGTGACAGGTAATTCTGTCCCCCTGGTAAATGTGTCCCCCGGACACATTTACCGGCTCGTGACCCGGTAAATGTGTCCGGGGGGACACTTTTACCGAGGTAAATGTGTCCCCCTCCAGGTAAAAATGTCCCCCTGTCCAACGGTGATCAAAGTGTCCCCCTGGTATTGTGTCCCCATGCAGTATGTACTGAGAGCAGCAGCGTGTCGCACGCGCCAGTACATGCTGCAAGATTTGAGGTAGTGATTATAACCTGTGTACATATGCGTCTCCCTCTACAATGGAAATTCGTCCAATAGGAAATTTCGTTACGCGGCTATGATGGGAACACAGACCAATCCAAGGACACGTTGTATCATACTATCAATGAGACAAGGGCCATCGCCATGCATCGCCGCTGTGTTGACCCATGGAGGAAGGAATAGACATGGTTGACCTATCGCGGTAGAATCGCGATAGACTTCACCGTCGAAACATTGTGTTCACGTATCATGTAATAGACTAGTTTAATTATTTTTTATATTCATGAAGGGCAGACTAAAACTTAGTCCAAAATGTGTACCTTGTAGAGTGAATTCATCAAATCAATAACCTTCCGGGTTTCAAAAGAGGGGGACAAAAAAACCTGGGGGACAGAAATACATGGATGGGACAGAATTACCTGGAGGGGGACAGAATTAACGGGCCAGGGAGGACACTTTTTACCTAGGTAATTCTGTCCCCCCCCCGGACACTTTTACCGGGGGACAGAATTACCTTCCACACCGGCCGTGCACATGCTGTAGGTGCACCGTGCGCGTACCGCCCCGGCTCTTGTTGTGGGGTCGTATCATAAGTCCGACGCCGCCATAGAGTAAGGTTGCAGACCAGTAAATCGGTCCGAAATTGCCTACGCCGGCCAAATCACGATTTGCACGCCCTCAAAATCTTCAGTATTTGAGCATTCTGTGGGCCATGAACTTGAGGGTTTTTAGAAAATATGGGTGGAAGCCGTGCAAAGGACTGTGAGCTTGTAGTTCCGTTCAATTTTAAAGAAATTGGGGTCCTTTAAAGCGCTCTATTTTACCATAACGTGTAGGCATCGTTTTTCAAAATGGCGATGGGCTTCTGGACAATTTTCAGGGGTAATCATCTTCGGATGGAAATTTCTCCTGAAAGTCATCAGATGACCCCCCCCCCCCAAAAAAAAAGTCAATAGAAAATTAAAGATGACGAAATAAGCTTTAATTTGATGTGTGTCTCGAACACCTTGGAGAGTTGTGACTATTTTCCCCAAATTTTCAAAGTGGGAGCATTTACCATTGTGGTCTAGGGAAGTTTATTTACTGGTCTGCAACCATATAAGTCCGACACCTCATCAGTCAGATGTCGGAAAATTGCGAAATTGTGTAAAAATAGCAAAAACACCAACTCCCTGATTTTTGGGCTTCCATCTGAGCGCAGGCTTGATAAAATTACGGTTGAAAAATTGGTCCTATTTGACTGAGAAAAATGGATGGATGCAACTTGTAAAATGGATACATGCAGGCTTGGGAACGATGTACCTACGTCTGGGGCTCACTCCAAAAGTTTCAAATCTGAAGCCTTGCCGATTTGTCACATAACAAGCTATAGTTTGTCAAAATCCATCCAAGTTAAGGTACCTTTAGACCGCGAGACATGAGAGCCATGTCGGCTGGCGCTGACAGCCCTTGCTAGGGGGCTTACTGCACAAAAACGAAACTGGGGGCATCATGTACCTACGTCTGGTGCTCACTCCAAAAGTTTCAAGTCTGAAGTCTTGCCGATTTGTCAGCTTGTTGGCCTATTCATCTGCTACATAACAAGCTATAGTTTGTCAAAATCCATCCATGTTAAGGTACCTTTAGACCGCGAGACATGAGAGCCATGTCGGCTGGCGCTGACAGCCCTTGCCATGGGACTTACTGCACAAAAACGAAACTGGGGCATCATGTACCTACGTCTAAAGCTCACTCCAAAAGTTTCAAATCTGAAGCCTTGCCGATTTGTCACATAACAAGCTATAGTTTGTCAAAATCCATCCAAGTTAAGGTACCTTTAGACCGCGAGACATGAGAGCCATGTCGGCTGGCGCTGAGAGCCCTTGCTATGGGACTTACTGCACAAAAACGAAACTGGGGGCATCATGTACCTACGTCTGGGGCTCACTCCAAAAGTTTCAAGTCTGAAGCCTTGCAGATTTGTCAGCTTGTTGACCTATTCATCCGCTACATAACAAGTTATAGTTTGTCAAAATCCATCTATGTTAAGGTACCTTTAGACCGCGAGACATGAGAGCCATGTCGGCTGGCGCTGACAGCCCTTGTCATGGGACTTACTGCACAAAAACGAAACTGGGGGCATCATGTACCTACGTCTGAAGCTCACTCCAAAAGTTTCAAGTATGAAGCCTTGCCGATTTGTCAGCTTGTTGGCCTATTCATCCGCTACATAACAAGTATAGTTTGTCAAAATCCATCCATGTTAAGGTACCTTTAGACCGCGAGACATGAGAGCCATGTCGGCTGGCGCTGACAGCCCTTGCCATGGGACTTACTGCACAAAAACGAAACTTGGGGCATCATGTACCTACGTCTGAAGCTCACTCCAAAAGTTTCAAGTCTGAAGCCTTGCCGATTTGTCAGCTTGTTGGCCTATTCATTCGCTACATAACAAGTTATAGTTTGTCAAAATCCATCCATGTTAAGGTACCTTTAGACCGCGAGACATGAGAGCCATGTCGGCTGGCGCTGACAGCCCTTGCTATGGGACTTAGTGCACAAAAACGAAACTGGGGGCATCATGTACCTACGTCTGGGGCTCACTCCAAAAGTTTCAAGTCTGAAGCCTTGCCGATTTGTCAGCTTGTTGGCCTATTCATCCGCTACATAACAAGCTATAGTTTGTCAAAATCCATCTATGTTAAGGTACCTTTAGACCGCGAGACATGAGAGCCATGTCGGCTGGCGCTGACAGCCTTTGCTATGGGACTTACTGCACAAAAACGAAACTGGGGCATCATGTACCTACGTCTGGGCTCACTCCAAAAGTTTCAAGTCTGAAGCCTTGCCGATTTGTCAGCTTGTTGGCCTATTCATCCGCTACTGACATAACAAGCTATAGTTTGTCAAAATCCATCCATGTTAAGGTACCTTTAGACCGCGGGACATTTGACCCATGTCGGCTGGCGCTGACAGCCCTTGCCATGGGACTTACTGCACGAAAACGAAACTGGGGGCATCATGTACCTACGTCTGGGGCTCACTCCACAAGTTTCAAGTCTGAAGCCTTGCCGATTTGTCAGCTTGTTGGCCTATTCATCCGCAACATAACAAGCTATAGTTTGTCCAGATCCATCCAGGTTAAGGTACCTTCAGGCTGCGAGACATGGGAGCCAGGCGGGTTGGCGCTGACAGGCCTCCCTATGGGACTTACTGCACAAAAGCGAAAGAAGGGGCATCCGCTACTACGTCTGGGCTTTTCTCCAAAAGTTTCGGGTCTATCGACCTGCCGATTTGCATGCGTGTTGGCCCATTCATCCGCTTCAAAATGGTACCAAGTTTGTCCAGATCCATCCAGGTTAAGGTACCTTCAGGTTGCGAGACTTACTGCACAAAAGCGAAAGAAGGGGCATCCGCTACTACGTCTGGGCTTTTCTCCAAAAGTTTCGGATCTATCGACCTGCCGATTTCCATGGGGGTTAGCCCATTCATCTGCTTCAAAATGGTACCAGGTTAGTCCAGATCCATCCAGTTAAGGTACCTTCAGGCTGCCAGACATGGGAGCCAGGCGGGTTTGCTCTGACAGGCCTCCCGATGGGAATTACTGCACAAAAGCGAAAGAAGGGGCATCCGCTACTACGTCTGGGCTTTTCTCCAAAAGTTTCGGGTCTATAAACCTGCCGATTTGCATGCGGGTTGGCCCATTCATTCGCTTTACAATGGTACCGAGTTTGTCCAGATCCATCCAGGTTAAGGTACCTTCAGGCTGCGAGACATGAGAGCCATGTCGGCTGGCGCTGACAGCCCTTGCTATGGGACTTACTGCACAAAAACGAAACTGGGGCACTATGTACGTACGTCTGAAGCTCACTCCAAAAGTTTCAAGTCTGAAGCCTTGCCGTTTTGTCAGCTTGTTGACCTATTCATCCGCTACATAACAAGTTATATTTTGTCAAAATCCATCCATGTTAAGGTACCTTTAGACCGCGAGACATGGAGCCATGTCGGCTGGTGCTGACAGCCCTTGCTATGGGACTTAGTGCACAAAAACGAAACTGGGGGCATCATGTACCTACGTCTGGAGCTCACTCCAAAAGTTTCAAGTCTGAAGCCTTGCCGATTTGTCAGCTTGTTGGCCTATTCATCCGCTACATAACAAGCTATAGTTTGTCAAAATCCATCCATGTTAAGGAACCTTTAGACCGCGAGACATGAGAGCCATGTCGGCTGGCGCTGACAGCCCTTGCCATGGGACTAACTGCACAAAAATGAGACAGGGGGCATCATGTACCTACGTCTGGGGCTCACTCCAAAAGTTTCAAGTCTGAAGCCTTGCCGATTTGTCATTTGTCATCCGTATTCATCCGCTACATAACAAG